TTTGCGCATTTGGAATGTTGCCATTTGGAATATTTGAAATATATTAACGTTAAAGGTAACATCGTTTAATACACTACAGAACTACAAGTACTTTTTATTTGCTTAAAAATGTTAGTCAACGCATCCACATAATTGCACTTTGAAGCATGAAGAATTATTAAAATGATTTAAAATACACTTTAAATAAAACTAAAAAAAATATAATACTAAGTGCACTTTTTAAAAGTATACTGAGAATCAATCATGAAAGTGTCCTCTCCTTAAGGACACTTAAGCGGCCTTATGTTTGATCAATATTATATACATTTATAAATAGTCAAGTTAAGTCACCTTAATTTATATAGCACTTTTGACAAAATTGTTTCAAACCAGCTTTAGTAAAAATATGAAATCAAAGTAACTGCTTAAATATAGTTTTAAGATTTGAAATGCACTGCAAATGCACACTTATTTTTGACAAGGGCTGTGATAGATCAACCTCACAGAAATCAATGCGGTAAATTGGCTTGAACTCCAGGCGCTGAAGAACTTTAACAACACATCATAAAAAGGTGAGATCCACTGAACTTTATCAAGCTGATGTTTGTAAAAGAGAAACTCAGTTGCAGAAAAGTCTGTCAAATCAACGAGAGACACAACAAATCAATGCCCAGGATGATTTTAATGACTATATCATGCAAAAATAATCATCATACTCTATAAAGAACATCAACTCTTATCTTTCAAAACCAGAAAAATGCCTTTAAATTTTGGTCCACCGATCACAAAAATCAAAGGAAAGACATCATAATGTCTTCATCTGAATGATTGTATATAAAAATCACACTTAGTGAGCAGTTCATACAGTTTAACACTTTTTGACATCAACAAATCGCTCTGTTTGACACGACAACAAAATATAACAATCACTTGTGCACTTCAGTCTCAGGCAAGAGGCCATGAAAATTGTGTTACCACACAATACACAAATCTAGAAAACATTTAGCTGAGTTTCAGAACAACTTAAAGCATGGCTCAGATTCCAACCTCTGAAAATGTCCCCGTATCTTCTGATCAGAACACACATAAGCTGGTTCTGACGTTTCGAGAAGACTTTCGCAATCATTCAATGACTCTGTAAACTAGACACAATCCAGATTTGTAGATGGCGAATATTACAAGATTGCTGATGTTATTGGTAAATTATTGCAGTACATGTTCTTAATAGTTGTGTTTGTTGATTTATTTAGTATTATTTTTTGATCAAGGAACAGCGTAAGACTTTAATGACACATTACTACATTACATGTGTAATAATGACACGTTACTGCTGGTTAACAACACACTGGTTTGTGTCATGCATGGAGCATCAGAGTGAATCTTACAAAACATGTGCAAGCTATAGACCATTTCACAAGATGTAAACAACACTGGTCCAGAAGCACTTCCTGTTTAACAACAAAACATAAAAGCTGGATAAAATACAACCAACAGAACATTTAAAACTGAATCAAAAAGTTAAACAAACATCTTTAAGATGTGAAATAAAGAAACCAGTTACAAACTGAAACAGGAAGTGTTTCTGGACCAGTGTTGTTTACATCTTGTGTCATTTGCCAAAGAAAATAAAGCCTTTTAATTATTACATTGGCATGATTTTCATGAAAATAAGCACCACCCAGGTTACTTATTTCTATAACAAAAAAATATTAATAATAAGACTATACTATTTCATTTAAAAGTATTATAATGTTTTATTTTTGAATCATTTGGGGGGAAATGTGCTTAATTGGCATAATTGTTAAAAAACAGGTCCTACAAACTTACTTGATTTTCTTAATGCAAAATATGTCTTTTTTAAAGGATTACTTCTAAAAATGATAACTAAAATTCTTCTAACCCTCGTGTCGCTCCAAACTCGTAAGATTTTGTTCATCTTCAGAACACCATTGAAGATCTTTTTGATGAAATCTGAGACGTTTCTGTCCCTCCATTGACAGCTCTGCAACTACCACTTTAATGCATAAAAACGTTCGTAAAAAGATCGTTAAACTAATCCGTTTGAGTTAAGTGGTTCAGTCCAAATATCCTCGATCGCTTTATATGATGAACACATTGAATTTAGGCTTTTAATCACATATAATCATCAACTCATACATCAGTTAAGTTAAAAAGAAGCTCAAACATGATTGCTTGACATGCAAGAACCAATGATGGTGTTTACCAATGAGGTTTGTTCTCTCGTGTCGAGTATATTCGTAGATGATTCACTGATGTGATGTGAACAAAAGACTAAATTAAACCTGTTCGTCATATAAAGCGATCAAGTCTCTTCTGACATTTTGAACTAAACCACTTAATTCATACGGATTAGTTGTATTTATGAAGCATCAAAGTGGTAGTTGCAGAGCTGTCAATTTAGGGACAGAAATCTCTCCGATTTTATGTAAATGATCTTCATTTGTGTTTCGAAGATGAGGGACAGGATGAGGGTGAGCAATTAATGACCATTTATTAATTTTTAATAAATACAAACTAACTGAAATAGGTGAAATAAGACCTGTAGACTCGTCCCTGACAGGTTTCGTGAGATTCACTCACATCAGCTTTGGCGCCAGTTAAACTCGTTAGATGATCACCTGGTCCTTATTCAGGGTTCGACCATAGTTGCATCACAATACACATTCCACATGAACCGCCTCGCTCTTATGACAGTTTATATGATAAATATGGCCCAATAAACAGTATAAGCACAGATATCACTGACCCAGCTTCACAACAGTCTCACAGAAACAGTAAATCCATGTCAAAACACATACTCGAGAGAGAAATTACTTTTTTTTTTCTTTTCAAATAACAACATGTCAGTGCATTCAAAGTATCAAAATGTCTGGTTTGTCATTACATGGTGGTTAAAATGAAACATTTTAAATGAAGACCAGCTTAATACCACTTAAAATACAGGACTGTATTGCCAAACACACACTTGAATGTATCGTTGATGAAAAGTAGCTGAACAATTTATACAAGATTGCACTTTAAAAATTTCTCAAGTGTACTTTAGGACGTTTCAAACATTTAAAGGTTTTTCAATATATTTCACACTTATTTTAATACACATGAGTTTCAGATATAGCAGTTATATTTGCAAATTTGTGCTATTAGATTCTTTCTGCACCAAGCGGTTGTCTATTTTTGCTCTACCTTCTAGGTTTATGTCCCATTTAAAGGGACCAGTTTATAATGTGTAATGCAGTACATGAACATAATGATAAACAGCATTCTTTGTAGGTTTAAGTTATATAATATAGTCAAAGAACCCAAATTTTGCATATTTTCTGTAAGGTCAATGGCAAGAGCTCTTTAAACCAGAGTAAACACTTGTTTCTTTTGAACAAAATTACATGTTAATCTACTCTACTCTACTCTACTCTGATTGGTCCTCAACTACTCATCTATTAAAGTTACAGATACAAAACTAAAACAAAACCTGTAAAAAAAAAAACAGCCAAGACCTGTGCTTTGATTACAGATGTCTGTGCTATTAAATATTGTCAGTTGATTAAATGTTGTAAACCACAGTAATAATTGAACATCTGTACTTTTAAAAGAAACATTTACATTGTCTTTAAACTGATTTAGCCATATAAATCCTTTGTATAATCCTAAATATGATATTTTCTATCTAATTAGCTGTATATTCTCATTTATATATCTCAATACATTATTCCTTCTTAAATATTTTCTTTATATATATTTACTTCAGATTGGACAAAGACTCTTTTTAAAAGACGTCTCTGACTCTACAGATATGCTTGTTGAGGATTGCGTCTATAATCACTTATATCTCTCTTTATTTCTTTTTTTACTTTGTCTTATTTCAAAAGATTTGTTATGTTTTGACTCATTAGAAATGAAACATCTACGAGTACCCGTCTCCTCTATACGTCTGCTCGGCGTCCTCCTGGATGTATTCCTCGGATTTCTCCCAGCTTTTCGCCCATCCCCCATTGAGCTGTGTTGTGGCCCCATATGTTTTGGCGGGGCCTCCAAGACCGGCCTGGCCTCCGAAAGGAGCGCTGCTCAGCGTGATGTCACCGGTCTCCTCCGCCAACTCGTCTTCATCGATGAAGCCACACTTCTCCTCGCTGGTCTCCTCTGGATCTGCCCACGGCTGCTTTTCTCCGGACGCGAATATCCCGTAGAACACGACGCCACCGTAATGCACCAGTGAGGCGATCAGGAACACGTTCTGCCATTCCTCACGAGTCTGGGGGACAAGAAACAGACAATTTAGGGCCGGATTTACTAACAGCTTGCACCAGCGCAAACCCTCTTTTGGAGTTAAAAAAAAAAAAAAAAAACTACTGTCATGATTAACTAAAGACACGCAGTGTAAAATTAGCGTTAAAAAGTCGTGGAAGGGGTTATTTATGCGGCTGGGCTTATCGCATATGCATTAGTAGGAGTTTCCCTTTCAGAATCAACATCTATGGGAGAAGTGTTTTTAAATGAATAGGTGATTTACAACTCAATTTACTGGTATTTGCACCATTATTTAATGCTAAAAAAAAGCTTGTCTTAAACCAGATGCTGAGTCACGCTGCTCTTGGAAGATAATGCAATCTTTGACTTTTTGTAATTCAGAAAACAACAATGCAATTGTTGTAAAAATTATGTAGTTATATTTGGCTTTGTTTAAAATTGAACGCTTGTCTGTTGATCACTAACTGCAACATTATGCAACAATAAACATGTTAGGTTTTGTATGCTAGATTATTGTCACTATCATGATTCCTGTCTTGTGTGTACTTTTGTTGTTTCCTGTTCTGTGGCCTGTTTTGTAGTCCTTTGTAGTTTTTTATGTTGATTAGTCTCCCCAGCTTTATCCTGTTTCCTCATTATCTAGTTAAGTTGTTTACCCCTGTGTATTTAAATCCCTTGTGTTTCACTTTGTCAGATGTTGTACATGCAATGGTTGCGTCTGTCTCTGTGATCCCCATAGTTTTGTTCCATTGTTTCGGTGAGTTCTGAACAACTGACCGCAATTGGATCTAATGGCAATGGCAGCATGGGCACCACGTTGTTGGATCCTGCCAACCTGCTCCTCTCCACGACACAAGATGGCCGCCTGATTGAGGATAATGTGGATGAATTTTTAGAACTCTCTAACATGGTACCTTGGAATATGGGCACCTTAAAAACTGTGTTGAAGCAGGTTGGACTATTATCTTGTCCAACAGGTTCCAGCGGCTTCAACAACCACTTGTTCCCTGCAGCAGTACCTCAGGGATGTCCTGAGGCTAAGTGAATCGTCCTACACAGTAGGTGAGGTGGAAGGAACCCTCGCCCCACCATCCCAACTGGAGCATTCCTCTTCAGTCCTTCAGTCTCCAGTCTCTGTCCAGAGATCAGTTAAGGCAGAGCCCTCTGCCAAGATGGCCACCGCCGCCAGACCAGAGCCCTCTGTGAAGATGACTGCCCTTTCAGAGTCTCGTCCCATCATTGCCGCCATTCCAGAGTCTCGTCCCAACATTGCCGCCATTCCAGAGTCTCGTCCGATCATTGCCGCCATTCCACAGTCTTGTCCCATTATTGTCACCCTTCCAGAGTCTCATCCCATCATTGTCACCCTTCCAGAGTCTCGTCATGACCGCCCTTCCAGAGTCTCGTCACGACCGCCCTTCCAGAGTCTCGTCCCATCATTGCCGCCCTTCCAGAGTCTCGTCACGAACGCCCTTCCAGAGTCTCATCCCATCATTGCCGCCCTTCCAGAGTCTCGTCCCATCATTGCCGCCCTTCCAGAGTCTCGTCCCATCATTGCCGCCCTTCCAGAGTCTCGTCACGAACGCCCTTCCAGAGTCTCATCCCATCATTGCCGCCCTTCCAGAGTCTCGTCCCATCATTGCCGCCCTTCCAGAGTCTCGTCCGATCATTGCCGCCCTTCCAGAGTCTCGTCCCATCATTGCCGCCCTTCCAGAGTCTCGTCCCATCATTGCCGCCCTTCCAGAGTCTCGTCCCATCATTGCCGCCCTTCCAGAGTCTCGTCATGACCACCCTTCCAGAGTCTCGTCCCATCATTGCCGCCCTTCCAGAGTCTCGTCATGACCACCCTTCCAGAGTCTCGTCCATCATTGCCGCCCTTCCAGAGTCTCGTCCCATCATTGCCGCCCTTCCAGAGTCTCGTCCGATCATTGCCGCCCTTCCAGAGTCTCGTCCCATCATTGCCGCCCTTCCAGAGTCTCGTCCCATCATTGCCGCCCTTCCAGAGTCTCGTCATGACCACCCTTCCAGAGTCTCGTCCCATCATTGCCGCCCTTCCAGAGTCTCGTCATGACCACCCTTCCAGAGTCTCGTCCCATCATTGCCGCCCTTCCAGAGTCTCGTCCCATCATTGCCGCCCTTCCAGAGTCTCGTCATGACCACCCTTCCAGAGTCTCGTCCCATCATTGCCACCCTTCCAGAGTCTCGTCATGACCGCCCTTCCAGAGTCTCGTCCCATCATTGCCACCCTTCCAGAGTCTCGTCCCATCATTGCCGCCCTTCCAGAGTCTCGTCATGACCACCCTTCCAGAGTCTCGTCCCATCATTGCCACCCTTCCAGAGTCTCGTCCCATCATTGCCGCCCTTCCAGAGTCTCGTCCCATCATTGCCGCCCTTCCAGAGTCTCGTCCCATCATTGCCGCCCTTCCAGAGTCTCGTCATGACCACCCTTCCAGAGTCTCGTCATGACCACCCTTCCAGAGTCTCGTCCCATCATTGCCGCCCTTCCAGAGTCTTGTCCCATCATTGCCGCCCTTCCAGAGTCTCGTCCCATCATTGCCGCCCTTCCAGAGTCTCGTCCCATCATTGCCGCCCTTCCAGAGTCTCGTCATGACCACCCTTCCAGAGTCTCGTCATGACCACCCTTCCAGAGTCTCGTCCCATCATTGCCGCCCTTCCAGAGTCTTGTCCCATCATTGCCGCCCTTCCAGAGTCTCGTCCCATCATTGCCGCCCTTCCAGAGTCTCGTCCCATCATTGCCGCCCTTCCAGAGTCTCGTCATGACCACCCTTCCTGAGTCTCGTACCATCATTGCCGCCCTTCCAGAGTCTCGTCCCATCATTGCCGCCCTTCCAGAGTCTCGTCCCATCATTGCCACCCTTCCAGAGTCTCGTCCCATCATTGCCGCCCTTCCAGAGTCTCGTCCCATCATTGCCGCCCTTCCAGAGTCTCGTCCCATCATTGCCGCCCTTCCAGAGTCTCGTCCCATCATTGCCGCCATTCCAGAGTCTCGTCACGACCACCCTTCCAGAGTCTCTTCCCGACCGCCCTCCCAGTGTCCTTGGACAAAATGGCCGGCGCTACGCCTCCCTAGCCTGGGCTGTTTGCTTCTGTTTCTGTGATCCTTGTGGTATTGTTCCTATGTTCTGTGTTATCAGTTTAACGTATTCCTGTATTAAACAACCTGTGTTTAGATCGTACTATTCTCTGCAATAAAGGCCTTCTGAAGCGATGCGTTCGTGTAAGAAAAATCCTTTTTTAAAACTCAATCGACTTAAATAACTAGCTTCTGGCAGATGAACGTATGCATCGATTTACAGTGAAAGACTAATTCTTGAAAAATTGTTATTGCTACTTCCATGGACATCAGTGTGTATTTTGTCCAAATGTATTGTTTTACTATAGTACTTTTGTGTATTTAAATGTCTGAAACCTAAATTAAACATTATGTGTTTGAAAACACTGCAAACAGTTGTGATATATGACAAGTGCTGAGCTCGTCCGTCTCTCACTGCCAGCCAACCGCGAAAGCAGTTTTTATATAACTAATTACCTACCTTTTTTGCTAACTTATTCGGGTTTACAGTGTAAGGCATATTATTGAGAGATCTAGAGAACTGATAATATATGCATTTTATGTAAGTACAACTGTTTACTGTCTGCTTTACTGTTATAAATATCATTGATTTCAATTACAAGTTATCAGAATTTCATCTCACTTTTTGGCCATATAAATAACTGCACCAAATGCTCAGTTTGGGCCTTTTTTTGTCCTCGAGTATGAGCTCCATATTCTTACTACTATGTGAGCCATAAATGCCTGATGTATCAAATACGATACTCAACAAAAAACATGAATGCAAACTTTTTGTTTATTTATATGTGTATTAAAAAAAAAACATGATTAAATGAATAAAGAACATGTGAATAATTTCAGGATTTCTCACCTTATTTTTGGTCATAGCCCCAACAATGAGAGGGCAGACCATACCAGAAAGTGTGCCCACTCCATTAGAAATGCCCATCAGGATGCTGGCATACCTTGGCGCAATGTCCAAGTGGTTGACATTAAAACCTTAGAGAGGAGCCGGATTGAAAAAAAGAAATTCAGAACTATGGGGAAAGATTTATTTTATATATTGTTTTAAATCAAAATGGGATTTCAAAACTGTTGATGCCTATAACATGTTATAAAGCGTCTCACCTGATATAGCAAATCCGCTAAAACCAACGGCTAGCACCAGGAATGAGATGGCCACACCTTTGCTGTGAGAGAAACCAACCACTAACAGCAGCGTGGCCTCCATTCCAAACCCTACAGTCACATGGGTGGGTCAAAGGTCATACCAACAAATATTTTTTTTAAATTTATTTCATAAAAGATACAAATAATGTAATCAAATACGGTCGCTCTCACCTCCGCAGTTCATGATCTTCCTGACGGTGGTGGTGGATAAGATGTTTTTTCTGCGCAGGTAGTCAGCCAGTTGGCCACCAATTGGCACGATGATGGTCATGACCAGGTGAGGTAAAGCAGAGAGCATACCGACCTGACAACAGCCAAAGAAAACATCACAATGAGCAAAACAGAAAATATAACCATTTACTAAATATACTGGTGGTACTAAATAAAACTACATGGGTTGTGTACTTTATTTTATAGACAGATGAACATTTATAGTTAAAAGTTGATGATGACATCTAACAATGCACGTACTTCAGAAAATATAATAAAGAATAAATACGAATAAAGAAGGCATAACTACTTATTACAATAGTTAATGTTTTTCACAGTCAGTAATTCATACTGTAACATTCGTTTGTTCGTTGTGTTTGAAACACTCGACGAAGTGCTAATCCTGTCATGACTTTTTGGTACATAACGGCTACCGTAGATGCAATGCCCATTTGAAAAAGCGAGACGCTGGACAGCACAATTCGTTTAAATGGAAAATACATTTTCACCGCTATAAACGGCAGAAATTCCTACACATCGTCCCTTTAAATAAAATATCACAATTTGTAGTGGATGTTGAGATTTGTAATCTTGCAGATCTTTTTTATGCTCAAACAGCAACGTTACATTACACACAAACTAAAGTTGAAAAAGTGAACCAGCACTATAGGATCCCTTAAGTCCATCGGTTCATTGTCTGGTTTCGTTGAGTTTGCACCCGTTTTGCTGTATTTAATAAACCACGCTGCTATTTGGAACTACATTGCCTATCTTCATCTATATGAGACTAAAAAAAAATGCAAAATGTGTAATTACAAATAGTTTTGAATACACAACATACACGTTTCAATAGAAGTATATTTTAGCTTTTGATTAATGCTTGTCAGGACATTCAGCAGTACACTTTAACCATATTTCAAAGACAATTAAGAAATTACATTAATATGTAGTGGGTCAAAAAGCACTCTTAATTTCAGCTAATTTCCTTTCATAAGAATTTACACTATAATACATTATAATTTTATTCTGAATGGCATTCAATTAAGTGTCCAAAAACATTCAGGTCACACTTAAGTACTGTATATTATTTTAAAGTAGATTATTTCCATTATACCCTTTTTAAAAGTACGCTAAAAGCGTTTTAGAAAAAAGTTTTTAGACATTTTCAAGCTTATTTGCACATATTTCTCACACAAATTCAGTGTATGGCTTAAAACATAGCTTTAAGTCATTTGAACAACTTGTAAGATACTTGCATAACAACAGCTGCGATTTTATGCAAATGTTCTTTAGTTTTGCACAGAAGAAAATAGTCATCCGGGTTCAGATGTTTCGGGTGAAATCACTGAAAGCCTCTACAATACAGCATCCTAAATAACCAAATGTGGCATAACAAATATCACTAAAATGGAAATCCTAAACAAGCCCTGGCTGATAAAACCCCAAAACAACTTGTAAGTCCAATCTCCCATACTGCACCTATGAGAGCGTTTGACCCGCAGAATTAAAGCAGCGGTTCAATTACTCCTGTCAGGCTTGCAGGATTTATATCACTCTCTCAGCTCAGGAGCCCAAGATCAATAACAATGTCAGCTTTCATTTATGAACGCCACTATGAACACACATTTCTGAATGCCCAACGTCTCAAATACAATCCAATGCGGGGACTCAGTGAATGAGGGGTCAGACAGATAGTAATGATTCAAGCCTGGCCAGAAAGGATTGCATATGAGGACAATTCATACAGCAAACACACAAGCCTTACGAGCTGTCAAATATTGAGACTTGATTAATGCAAAAACATTTCCCCCCTAAACTCTCTCACCTTACTGATTTCAAAGCCAAACACTTCTTCAAAGTACGCCGGCTGACTGATGAGCAACAGATAGAAGGTCCAGCTCCGGCAGAAGTTGGCCACAATGATTGCATAGACCGGCATGGAGGTGAAGAACTTCCTCCAGGGTGTCTTGAATTTCTGTGGAAAAAAAGAAACATGTTAATAAATGTATAGAAAGACCTGTAGCATGAAGATTTTAAGCGATCAGAACAGTTCAACAAGCATGATTTTTTAACTACAACTTTCTAGTCCGTCTCAAGTTGAATGAATTCTGATGACAAAAAAAAAAACATTCTGAAAGAAACAAAGAAATAAAAATAAGATTAAATTGTAGCCAACTTGTCACGTAATGAAGTGATTTCAGTTTCATTTTCAACGACTTTAAAGTAGAACTCCGGCGCAAAATGAACCTTTGGTCTAATAACGCATTGGTACCTAGTCAACCGTTCTCTGAGATTTGTTTTCATGATAATCGAATGTAAAGAGTTTTATCTCTAAAAACTGTTTAGCGTATAACGCTAGTAATGGGGGCATTTGATATGTAAAAAGAAATCGCTAGTTTATACCACTAACAAGGCTCAAAATAGCCCCACACTAACACAGTAACATAATGAGGGTCCATACATGCAAAACGAAGCATTGAGAACTGTGTAAGAGTACAGACCGTTTAATAAGAAGATACTTTATGAAGACAGTTCACTTCGCGTATACAGGCAGAAGCCATCTTTGAAAAACAGTCTCGATAAGTCAAACCACGAACGCCGTTCATACAGTTCAGCTCACTTAGCACGTTGTTCTGGGTTATTTCCTGTTAACTTTCTGTTGTCATGGTTTCTAGCACGTTTGTCATTGGTTGTCATGGTTACTTGATTTCACACACCTGTTCCTTGTTATGCTCCTTAGTTAGTTGTGTATATAATGCCCTCATTTTCATTTACTCATTATCGGGTGATGGATGTGTTTATACTGTTTCTTTGATTCTTCGTGTTGGATTGTTCTCTTTTGGTTTGTTTAATAAAGTTATGCTGTCATTTAGATCCGCTACACCTTGTCTCATCTTCTTCCTCAGCCTGAACGTTACACAGTTCCTGTATGTATTTATTTACACTTAACTCAATATTCATGTATATTCTCAAGCTGCACAACTGCCATTGACAAGAAAAGGAACCTAAAAGATTCTCAAGCTCTCAAGGGCAAAAGTGCTTTAAACACAGACAATTTGAGAAAAAAAAAAAAAAAACATGATTTGCTTCAGCACTGCTACCTTAAAGGGATACTCCACTTTTTTTGGAAATAAGCTAATTTTACACCTCCCCCAGAGTTAAACAGTTGAGTTTTACCGTTTTCTAATCCATTCAGCCAATTTTCTGATATTTCGAACTCTAAGAATATCAGTAACCAGACAGTTTCTGGTCCCGTTGACTACCATAGTATATTTTATTTCCTACTATGGCAGTCAATGAGACCAGATACTGTCTGGTTACTGATATTCTTCTAAATATCAGAAAATCATCTGAATGGATTCGAAAATGGTAAAACTCAACTGTTTAACTCTGGGGGAGTTGTACGTATAATGAGCCTATTTCCCAAAAAGTGGAGTATCCCTTTAAAGCTAATAGACATGGACTGATACCCAAATTTGATTTCATGGGATCTTCGGATTTCTCCAGGAGAAACCACACAAGAAAACGTACCTCAGACGGCCCAAGTAGATTGGCACTTTCTCCAATACTCTCCTCTATGTAAGTTCTCTCTTCATCTGTGATGGTGGGATGATCTGCTGGGCTCTCATATGAAACCAGAATCCAAAACATGTACCAGAAAATCCCAAAACACCCTGTAGTCCAATGGAGAGAAAATCATGGAGAACAAGTACACACAAAAAATAACATTCTGTTATCATTTCAGAGTTCGCAGTCAAGATTATAAACCTACCATATATATAGAAGACAGAAGACCATCCTGAGTACTGGACTAATATTCCTGCCAGCGGCATGGCGATCACAGCACCCGCGTACGAACCTGAAACAGGGCGTTTGTAATGGTTTTATTTTGGGTATGGTGTGTTGTGTATGCTTTTAAAAAGGCAAACTGTATTTACCACAAAAAGAGGTGGTTGCTAGGCGACTTCTCTCAAGGGGTGGAGCCCACTTGCTCCAAATTCCATGGCATGCTGGGTAGGTCACACCCTGGACACAATATTTGATATGTATTACAATATGTATACATTAAAAAAAGATACCTAGATATTACGGAGCCCCTCTAGTCCCACTTTGGTAAAAAAAAAATTAATTATAACTATCTTATGGCCTCAAGATAGTAACTCGTGGCCTCAAGATAGTAACTCGTGGCCTCAAGATAGTAACTCGTGGCCTCAAGATAGTAACTCGTGGCCCCAAGATAGTAACTCGTGGCCTCAAGATAGTAACTCGTGGCCTCAAGATAGTAACTCGTGGCCTCAAGATAGTAACTCGTGGCCTCAAGATAGTAACTCGTGGCCACAAGATAGTAACTCGTGGCCTCAAGATAGTAACTCGTGGCCTCAAGATAGTAACTCGTGGCCTCAAGATAGTAACTCGTGGCCTCAAGATAGTATCTTGAGGCCACAAGATAGTTATAATTATTTTTTTTTACCAAAGTGGGACTAGAGGGGCTCCGTAGATATGCAAATATACTGTACATAAAAGAAAGATTTTAAATATTTTCATCACATAATGTAGACATGGTCAATACAAATCGGCTGAAGTTCAAACTGAGCATCAGAATGGGGAAGAAGGGGGATTTAAGTGACTTTGACCCTGGTGCCAGACTGCCAGTCTGGGGTACGATTCCCGAAAGCATCGTTAGCCAACTATGGTCGCAAGTTCCGTCGTTATCAACATAGTTCAACGAACGAGTCGGTGTTTCCCGAAGCCATCGTTCCAATAAACATTCGCAAACAACATCGCAAAGTTGTGTGGTTTGAACGACAGCTCTCGACCTGTGGTTAGAGGCATCGTTTCTATATCGCATCACATTTGGACATAATAAATCCTTATCTTGAGCTGACATTCAGTACAACCGGTGCCTTTTATTTAAAAATTAGAATGCATACAAATGTACTTTACGTCTTTTAGTTTTTCAAAAGATTTAAAGTTCCGTATTTGAAGAGTGCGCATGTGCGAACGTGCTCTACTATTTTGAACGAGCCAAATATTGAGTCTGGTAATAAAACAAAACAACTGAGAACAATTAGAAATAGTCCTCAGATGACATGTCTGTAAATATTAACAAATCTAGCGGTAATTGGATCTCAAACAGTTTCATTAAAAGTAGTTATTACTCCACAACGTGCGAAACCAACGTGGTTGAACGATACTTTGCGCAAATGGGTTTCGGGAAACAGTCGTGACTAGCTAGTTGATTTCTCCAACGATGCATCGTACTATGGTAGTGAAGCAGCGAACTACACAGTTGTACGGGAAACGCACCCCAGACTGGTTGAGCTGATAGAAAGGCAACAGTGACTCAAATAAACACTCGTCACAGCCGAGGTCAGCAGGAGAGCATCTCAGAACGAACAACACGTCCAACCTCCTGTCAGACGAGAACTGAAATTGAGGCTACAACTCATACGGGTTCAACAAAATCGGACAATAGAATATTGCCTGGTCTGACAAGTGTCGATCATAGCTGTCAACACACAGCAAATTCTGTTTTTTTGAATAAACTCCCTGTTAGTTAAAATCAACTCAATCTGAGTGTACATGTGAGACCATCAATTAGACGCCAGCGCAGAGGTAAAATAACTCTGCTCTTGGAGTTGAATTTTTAACACTTTTTTCAGAGTTAAAATGGAGTTAAAATACTAATCCTACAGAGAGTAAATATAACTCTAAAATTAATTATATAAACTCATTACCAGTGTTACCAGTTTAGTTTAACACTTCTTAGAGTTAACATTTATTTAACACAATATAATGTTTTGTGTGGAAATTACTACACTGGACACCATACTCTTGATTTACTGCCTTTATTTGAGCAAATCCATTTGGTTCAGACTTGAGGAGGAGTAACCTTCAACCGCTTGCTGCAGGACAGTCGTCTGAAGATCACAAAAACAACAGCATTCGGCATAATATAATCTAGCACCATTCATTGAGAATGCAAAAATATATAAGCTGAAAATCACGCACATCGTGGGTCACCACTAATATAGCCTAACGTTACAATTCAATTGCCTGTAATGCATTGATGCATTAATTTCACGGCAAAACACTCATTTTCAGAAACACGGTGAATGGAAAGACGGTTAGCTAATGTTAACTCGTTTACATCGACAAAAAACCCACGCAAATAGCCATTTCAACATTTGAAACAAGTAATTTAAACATGCGTTCAACAGCAAGTTTGTCATGGTCGTTGACGTTAATTAGTAAACAAACTAGCCTGTAACGTAACAGCTACGCGATGACCAAACGTGTTTGTTAGAAAATATATTTTTTTAAATAGTTTTATATAAGTTACACTTTTACCTACCGACGAAGCATAAGTCCATTATTCCTTTGTGCAGCGGCAGGGTCGTGTCGTGGCGCACTTCTCAAAAATAACTCCAGGTGTAGTTCCACGCTAACACCAATGAATGAACTCCAAAATACAACACAGCGGGGGAGTATCCAATAACACAAACCGTAGTCAGAGTTAAAAAAAAAAAAAAAAAAACTCCAAAAAATTAACTCTTTCACACTTTTTTGCCTAACTCATGATTTTTCAACTCCTGAAATTTGCTGTGCATTGAACAGTGAAAATAAGGGAGTAAGGTTCAGGGAAGAAGGAGGCAGAAACCGGATGACAATCAAAAATACAACTTTATTTAAACGAAATAAACAAATTACCTGCCAGCAGTTCCTCACGGAGCTTTGACAAACGCATATGACAATATGACAAACGCAACAGCGAAACATCTTGATAAAAGACAACTGTTATGGAGTGGTTTTGCAGAGCAAATCGGCGCCATCTAATGTCAGGGAATGAATTTGCATGTTCACTCGGCTCATCGTCAGCGAAAATCGCTTGGGTGTGAACACAAAGAACGTGTTGAAAAACGCTGACGAATAACGTGCGCTGATATTCATCCCGGTGTGTACGGGAACAGAACCAACATGAATGTATTGCAGATATCATTAAATCAAGATTTTAAGTACATAATTTTTAAGTACAAGAATTTTAGTCTGATTGATGGGAATCAGAATGCCATCCAGACTGGCGAGAGGAGGATCTGGGAATGTAGGAGGGACATGTGAACACGACTATGGATCCGCTGAGAGTCCGCTGATGCGAGCTTGACTAAGTCGCACAGAACTTTGAAATTGGTCGTGAAGCAACCGTTACCCTAGGATATTCACAATGGTAAAATTAATGATTTTAATAAATGTAATGCATGCATGAATATATCTACACAAAACAAATGACCCTCAATTCATCTCAAATAAAAATACAGTAGTATAAATATTGGTTTAATAATTATAAAATATATTTTCTGCTATAGTTAATAACCAACATTTTACAGAGCGAGCGTTTACAGAAAAACATTAAAGAGTTAAAATATTGGTAATTCTAGCCTCGCGCTCATAGTTTTTATTAGAATACATCACTTCCGGTTGGCCGGTCGTATACGGTCTAGCCGCAGACGTTCAGATATTTCAACGGATCAGCTCAAAACGGATCCGAATTTTCCGCATACGCATATGATCGGAACTCCCCGCAGCTCCCGTACGACTCTCCTTTGGAAATGAATGACTTCCGGTCCGACGGCGGTCGTTTGTTGTTTGCAGTGGAAAGGCGGCTTAACGTGACCTGCCGGATCTGACGCTACGCTTATGCAATAAAACAAATAAAAAAAATGTAAAAGCTCTAGAACAAATATTCTTAAGAAATACCTTACAAGGGGTCATAAAAAACAGATAAATATAACCCTGAACAAATGAACAGTAACGCAATTCAAATAAGGATTAATGATCCATGCATGCAGACTTGCGCAAACGCAAGCAGATCAGATCTGATTCACCACAAACACACTAATGCTGCCCATTAAATCTTCATTACTAGCTAATTGTCACAGAATCAGTCACTGATAGACACAAATTGCTGCAGCCAGCAAAGGAGAGCACATCCGCAGAGCTAATGTCAATACACACAACACAAGCTAGTGTGGTTACAATAACCTCAAATGGGTTTTAATTCATGTACAGTCAGCACTCATCATACACTGAACAATAGTGTCGAATAGCAGGCGACCGGCGCACAGACAAAGCCAGCAAGCAGCTGCTAATACTCTTTCAGTGTTCATCTTTTGAGTTTTGTTTGAATAAGAGATGACATCAGAAGTCAGTAAACTCTCCCTTTCAAGCGTCTCATAATTTGTTTGTTCACTCCTGTGCTTTCGGTGTGTCTGCTGGTACAGTGATGCAACTATTTTTGGTTCCCCAAAGAACTTTTCAGTGAAAAGTTCTTAACAGAACCAATTTTTTTATTAGTGAAGAACATTTTCTTAATAATCTGAACCGTTTTCCAGTTGTTCCAAGGATGTTGGAGGTTCTGTGTGAAACCATCGATGCCAATAAAGAACCTTTATAAAGAACCTGGGACGTCCTATAACCTTTTTCAAGGAGGAAGATCAAGGAATTGGTTATACACTCTCAGAATAAAAGGTACAAAAGCAGTCACTGGGGCTGTACCTTTTCAAAAGGTACACTTTAGTACCCAAAGGCTGTATATTGGTACCTTAGTGGTACATATTAGCACCTAAAATGTACATATTAACACCTAAAATGTACATATTAGTACCTAAAATATATATATTAGTACCTAAAATGTACATATTAGCACCTGAAATTTACATATTAACACCTGACATGTACTTATTAGTACCTAAAATGTACTTATTAGCACCTGAAATGTACATATTAAGACCTAAAATGTACTTATTAGCACCTAAAATGTACATATTAACACCTAAAATGTACATATTAACACCTAAAATTTACATATTAGCATCTGAAATGTACATATCAGCACCTAAAATGGACATATTAGCACCTAAAATGTACAAATTAGCATTTGAAATGTACAAATTAGCACCTGAAATGTACATATTAGCACCTAAAATGTACAAATTAGCACCTGAAATGTACATATTAACACCTAAAATGGACATATTAGCACCTAAAATGTACAAATTAGCACCTAAAATGGACAAAAGTTTACCTTTTGAATAGGTACAGCCCCAGTGACAGCTTTTGTACCTTTTTTCTGAGAGTGTAGAGGCAATACACAAATCCACCACACTACACAAAACGGGTGTTCTGTGTTGGTGTAAAATACATGGTTCAAAACCATCTTACTTTTATGAATTATTTTTATGAATTCTATTCAGGTAGATTTCAATATAATTTTGAAATACAAAATTCTTTCTGAAAAGTTCATCCTGAAAAGAAAAAATATATTTCTCACTTTAATGACTTGATTTCTTCATAAAGAAGAGATATTTTGAAGATATGTGTAAAGTCAATGGGGTCCAAAATATTTCTTTTGTGTTTCAGATTTAAAAAAGGTAGTGAGGAATGACATTTTAGGTGAACTATCCCTCCAAGCAATCCCCAAGATTTAAAACTTTGAGCTTTATTATTTAAGGAAATCCACGTTGAACTGTTAAAAATGTATTGATATGCATATTATATTCTTTACATGTCTTTCTTTCTTCACTCGTAAAGAAATTAAGGTTTTTGATTAAAGCATTCCAGGATTTTTTCCCATATAATGGACTTCAATGGGGTCCAAATGGTTCAAGGTCCAAAAGACAGTTTCAGTACAAACTGCAAACTATTCAAAGGGCTTTAAACGATTCCAGACAATGAATAAGGGTCTTATCAAGCGAAACGATCGCTCATTTAATAAATAAATGACAAAGTTTAAGTTTTATAAGCTCAAATGGTCGCCTTGCTCTGACGCACGTTTGTGACTCTCCAGTTCGAACTCGTTCATCAAAATGAACGAATCTTTTTCCGAGTCAATTTGTTCGTTTCGTTCGTTGAATGAACCAAATGACTCGGAAAAAGATTTGTTCATTTTGATGAACGAGTTCGAACAGGAGAGTCACGAACGTGCATCACAGAAGAGAGCAAGGCGAGCATTTGTGCTTTTAAAACTTAAACTTTGTTATTTATTTATTAAATGAGTGATCGTTTGGCTTGATAAGACCCTTATTCATCGTCTGGAATCGTTTAAAGCCCTTTGAACAGTTTTCACTGAAAGTGTCTTTTGGACCTTGAACCGTTTGGTTCCCATTGAAGTCCATTATATGGAGAAAATCCTGGAATGTTTTCATCAAAAACCTTGATTTCTTTCCGACCGAAGAAAGAAAGACGTGGACATCTTGGATGACATGGGGGTGAGTAAATTATCAGCAAAAGTTTTTTTCATAAGTGAACTACTCCTTTAATGGCTATACTTCGTTTTTTATTGTGCCTTTTGTTGTAACATTCATCTGTGTGTAACGACTTGAGTGCATTACTGTAATCACAATTTTGATTTGTTCTGAACAGAGAGATGAGTAGAAATTATTTCCAGTTTGTTTGTCCAGTTAAACTTGACCCCAATAATATTTCAACATCTGGTTGCTATGGGGGGCTGAACCTGTTATATGGTGTAAATGCTCTGTTAAATAATTAAACAGTGATTTGATAAGCATATGGATTAAAAGAACGACTCTTACTTCCACCAGGCCCTGCAGGATCCTGACGAACATGACACAGCCGTAGTGCACTCGTGCAGCCGAGGGGATGAACATGTTGAGTGTGGCCGTCAGCAGGATAGCAGCACCAAACACCCTGAACCACAGAAAAACAAGGTGTTATGGGTAATGACTCAAAATCATGGGCACCCGTCGAACTGTAAACTGCACCAGATCGGCAGTGACTGAAGAAACTGAGCAGGAAATACATGCCAAGAGCCGATTTACTCAGTTCAACCCGAAGGCATCGAAATCATTCGAAGAACACTCAAAGGCAGGAAAACATGTTTTATTAATTGTGTGTGGAATCTAATTTACAGAGCTGCAGCCATCTGGTTTAATGAGTGAAATCAAAATCATGTTCGTGAAATTGACATCTTGAAATTCTAAAGCCAAGATGCAAGGACAATGAAATCAAAAATCTACATTTAACAGGTCTTCTGGACTTGTTCCAAATGCAGGCTCGCAATGCGCACTTGCTTAAAGGGATAGTTCACTTTGAAATTAATTTTTGGTATGTTTTATCTTACCTCAAGGGCATCCAAGATGTAGGTGTCTTTGTTTCCACAGTATTTTCAATTTTGATTTTTTTTAGATCAAACCGTTCTTGTCTGTCAGTCATATAGTGGAGGTCTATGGTCACCACCTCAAAGAGCATGTACAGAGAAGTCCAAATTAAACATGATTTAATGACTCGTAAATGTAAGTACACACTGATGGCCTAAGACACGAAACGAGCGGTTTGTGTGAGAAAACGAACAGTATTTATATCGTTTTTACCTCTTCTAGCCACAGCCACAAAGCGCCCGCGCCGTGATCTGAGGGCGCGGGCGCTTTGTGGCTGTGGTTACAAGAGGTAAAACGATATAAATACTGTTCGTTTTCTCACACAAACCGCTCGTTTCGTGTCTTAGGCCATCAGTGTGTACTTACATTAACGAGTCATTAAATCATGTTTAATTTGGACTTCTCTGTACATTTCTCACATGCTCTTTGAGGTGGTGACCATAGACCTCCATTATACTGACAGACAACAACGGTTTGACCTAAAAATATCAAAATTGAAAATACTGCAGAAACAAAGACACCTACATCTACACCTTGAGCTTGAAGATAAAACATACCAAAAATGAATTTCAAAGTGAACTATCCCTTTAATTTACAACATTTAAAAAACGCAATCTACATATAGCATATTATATATATACATTTAGCTATACTGTATATATAGCTAGCCTATTTGAACAGGTCCTATGTAAAAATATGAGTGTATATCAGTCAAAGGGGGCTCTTTTGTGCCTCGGAAGCGCGCACACACGCGATCCTGTCTGCTGGTTAATGAGGTCTCCAGAGGAAAGCGTGTCTCTTCTGCATTCAGGGTTCATGGCAACCAAATAAAGCTCAGACAGGGAAGCATGTGGCCTTTCAACCTAATATAAACACCTATGTCATATAAATGTCTAGGCTATTTGTAAATATATAAATTGTGAAAATTAAACGTATTATAGCACATTTAGTTTCTAAATGCGTGTGGTGAGTTACCTGTTGGCAGCCAGTCGTGAGGATATGTATCCACCTGGGATCTGTGTCACTATATAGCCCCAGAAAAAAGAGCCGTGGATCATTCCCACCGTCTCCGGATCCCAGTTAAACTTAGCTTTCTTATGGGGGAAATAAATGTATAACGCACGGTTAATTCAGCTGTCATTTTATAAACATGTAGTGTAACTTGCTTTCAGTGGAACATTTTCCCATTAGTGTTTCCACATAAAATGTAGACGTTTTTGAATCAGTGGAAGTGTGTCTTCACATGAGGATGCTCTGAGTGACTCAGGCTCACCTCTGTGATTATGATCTTGCCGTCTTTGTGAATGGTGCTGTTGTTGACCATGCCGACGATCGCGACTCCGAGGTTACAGCGGATCCCGAACGAGATGCAGAAGCCGAGGCCGCTCATGATGGCGATGATGTAGCGGCGCGGGAGCCCGAAGCACGTGCAGTCGCACAGAGGCGCTTTCTTCTCTTTCATTTGCGCGGGACGCCCATCTTCCGTCAGCTCGATCACCTCACCCGTCTTCTGCTTCTTCTCCATCACCCTGTGAAGATACAGCATTAGCCTACTCACTTTCTACACACGCACAAAAAATAATCTATAATTTTGTGTGTTTGATCGTGTGGAGTGTCCTTGGAACGCCCAACAAATTTAGGTTCTGGGAACGTTAGTTTTTGGTTCCCAGAACGTTCCTAGAACTTTCCCTTAAGGATAAGGGAACGTTCCCGGAACATTCTCCTTACGTTATAAAAATGGAAGCTAAAAATAACCTACATGTAACGTTCCTATAACGTTCTTGTTTGGTTCCCCAAAAAAAAAAAATAACCTCATGGGACCATTCGGGAACGTTAGGGGAACGTTCTGTGTTTGCTACTGAATAAATACAAAAATAGGGGGAAATAACCATAAGGCTAAACTACAACATTCGAATATTCGATCATCTCACAAAAACGTCACTGTAGGCTGTAAATTTCGAAACCCGAAACATTCCCGGGAAAAAAAAAGGAACGTTATGGCTAGTCGAACGTTATTCTGTTTGCTAGACTATAGCCTACAAAAATACATAACATATCTATGTTATGTATCTGTTAATAACAGATAGGGCTACATAATATATATATATATATATATATATATATATATATATATATATATATATATATATATATATATATATATATATATATATATATATATATATTCATTAAATTAATTCTATTAATTGTATTCCTCCAGTTTTTGGATACGATGTTATCATGTTTGTTTATTTTATTGAATAATTAAATCGATCAAGCATTCAGCAAAAGGACAAACAGAGTTATACATCACGATTTGGCAAACTGAGTTATTTGCACCGCATTGCAGCATTTTATCTCTTACATCCTTATAGAAATACATATCTATACAGATTTAAATGCAGACGTGACCATATTTAGCCTTTTTGCTTTTCAACACATTTTACGGCTACTTCAACACTTAAATATAGGCTAAGGGGGGAAAACATTATAACAAACGAAATAGCCAACAATAAATATATAAATATCGTTCTATATAATGCTGTTAGATTGACTGTTGTGTATCAGATCATAGTGAAGTCTTTTTTTCTTCCTGTGATGAAAACCATTCACTGATTCGTTCCGACTCTGAGCGTTTCATAACCACTGGCCTACAATGAAATAATCAAAATACAAAAACGCTCTTAAACATGTTTTCATCGCACGGTTTCCATACAAAAGCCTACAAATAATTTACACGATTTTGACAAAGTAAAACGGAAAAAGCAGTGATTCTATTCTGAAATTTAATTATACTAAAATAAATAGACTAGCCTACATGTTTTGTGCGTTTTTTAACGTTTAAAACGAACGAATAATAACGTTACTGATTTAATTAAAGGGATTTATAGCTCGTCATGTCACGACTTTCTTTCATGAATTATTAATTGATTCAGGAGCGCTGTGGGCAGAGGAACGATCCTCGGAGGAATCTCTAGATCTACACACGATCGAATCGCGATCTTTAATGCACACATCATTTCTGTCGTATTTTCTCCTAACGAAAATCACGAAAAAAACGTTAATCACTATAAATGATGCGTTATTTAGCTATTTCTGTGCAGCTTTGGCAGGGAAAATAGGCTATTTGAATTTCTGTAGACATGAATATTGTACTCTGACATAGCCTATTTGATAATAGCCTATTTATTTTCTTTTTTTTAATCATCAGTAGGCTACGTTTTTCCTGTCTTCATTTTTTTTTTTTTTTTTTGAATGAAAGGGGCTGATACCTGTGCATGTGTCCCAGGGTTTTCCCGGCCAGATTCCTCAATCTCTCCTTACCGGGAGCCAAAACTCGTTCCTTCACCGTATCCATCTCCAAAAATAATATTCCACTCAAAATGAATAAGAGATTTTAATTTGAATTGGCTGTAAGATATTTCAGCATATTCCTTGAGTGTGGAAACCTGAGCAGTATTTTTTGACCCAGTAAAAAAAAAAAATGCGTTTTTATTCCGTGTAGACGACTTACAAAACACCACGATCAATCAATCAATTAAAATCTTGTTCCACAGTCACTGAAATGTCCTTCGAAACTCCCTTTCCGACTTCTGTTATTCCTCGCTTTTCCATTTTTGTCGATTAGCTAGCCTATATTTGAAATCACAAACGAGAATAATCCATCAGAATTCACCCTTGAAAAAGACAGAATGAGAAAAATGAAAAAGACAGAAGAAGAAAAAATAAACGTGGAGCGGTGGAAGCCAGCACTATAGGTGCGGGAGCGCGTTCGGGACCACGGACAGGGAAAGCGCGCGTCCGTCCAGCTGTGCATGAACCCGCAGACAGCGAGTGAGCTGCGCGCTCCACACCTGCGCGCTCCCCTCGTGCACAGTGGCGCAAAAAGTGGGTATGCGCTATATGCGGCGCATAGGGGCGCAGCACAATGGGGGGCGCCAAAGCGATGGTAAAAAAAAAAAATTATATATAGGCTATATTGTATTTCTATATGTAGCTGCCGTTGTCCGTTTCTAAATCATTTCTGCATTGCTTCAATGTTATATAAAATTTTAGAGGACTAACAGCCAGGCTAGAGTATGGCGCCCTCATGGAAAAGGGGGGCGGGTAATATCGTGAGCGGGCGGGGGCGCCGTGAGCGCTGAGCGAGCAGGTACGAGTAGTTAGTTGTCGTCGAAAAAGATGGATAAAACAAAATGCTGTGGGGCTAAAAATAGAAAAAGAAAGAGAGAAAAGGAGATGGCATGTCAGTTGATGCAACAGCAGCTAAATAACTGCATGCATTGCTGAAAGCCAACAGGTAGGATTTAAAATGTGACATCCAGGCATGGCCATCGGGACTACCGGGAGATTCCCGCTGGGCCGACGTGCTTTTCCTTTTTTAATTTATTTGTCTTAACGGCCCACAAAACTCATACATCGGCGGCCCATTTGTTTGTTTGTTGTTTGTTTTTGTTTTGTTTTTTGCTTAATTGGCGGCGCTTTGCTGGTGTAATGCATTGGTCAAAAAAGTCAGCTTTAGTTTTTTTTTTCTGACACACTGGCCCATGAAATATGTCATTATGCGCAAGTATCTTTCAAGTATAGAAGTTAGTGCAAAACTAATTATGAAAGTTTCCTTTATTATTCTGTGCATTTGTTTTACAATAGCCTTAATGGCAATTACTATCATGGGATTAATATTATAACTATTATTATGTAGTCCTAGTGTAATGTAGACAGACACTAACTAAAAGAGGTTCAAATTTTTCTCTGTTTAATTTGCACCCTGAAAATGGGTTGGAGCTTTTAATTTTGAACTCTCAAAGTGCACCAGACTGCTGAATTTAACATTACAGAACACAAAATTTTCTTACGGGGGAGCATGCCCCCGAACCCCCCTAGAGAAACAGAGGTCCACCTACCACAGGTTTACCTAAAATCCTGTGACAAACACTGCTATTGCTGTTCCAATGGAGCTTATAGTTTTTATAGTTTAATTGTGTTAATAAACGACAATTTTGCACTTATTTTTTTCTGTTAGCTCTCATTTCTTTCTACTTAGTTTTTACATAGCACACTTACATTACATTTATTTATTTATTTTTTTTTTGGGGGGGGGGGGGGGGGGGGGGCGCAAAAATTGTTGCTGCATACCCCTCTGAAACTGGGTAGTTGCGCCCCTGCTCGTGCACTGCTTAAAAGAAATGTATTGACATGTAGTAATTAGCAGATCCTTTGGCAAACATATTTATTAGCCATGTTATAGTATTATAGGGCGCATTGAGTGGTTTTACAAAAATGCAATCCTTCAAGTCATCAGTTTTGACTGGCATTATATGCACTCTTGGGACGAGATAATTGAGTAGGTTATTTTTGTAGTCAGAATTATAATTATTTGTATTACTTTAGGAATATTCATGATAGATTATTCCAACAATACCAACAATAATTTAGAAAACAGGGTTGGGCACGAAAAAATACTTCGAATAGAGACCGCAAGAGGGCGCTAGACTCGGTGTCGTTCTGTTTGCCATGATCCGTTAAATTATTAATAAATACATATAAGCAGTGCAACTCATAAATAAAATCATGACTTTGTGTGAATAGCTACTCTTCTTTCATATTTTTCAGTTACTTAAAATTAATTTTGGTTCAAAACTTTAATTTTAATTTTTTATATTAGCTGTTAAAAAACATTAATTTTCACAAAGACAAAAAAAAAAAAAAAACATACAAAGTACAAAGATTATTTGGTAACAGTTTTCAATAAAGTTCATTAGTTAACATTAATGTAGCCTATTAACTAACGTGAACAATGTGTTACTGTATTTGTTAATCTTTGTTAACGTTAGTTAATAAAAATGCAGCTGTTCGTTTTTGTTCATGTTAGTTCACGGTGTATATTAACTAATGTATTAGTATTATTATTATTACATTAATTATTATAAATTATTAGTAAAAGGTGAGATTAATAGGCTATTAAAAACGATTCATAAATGCTGTATACGTGTAGTTCATTATTAGTTCATGTATTCAACTATGTTAACTTTATTGTTAAGTGTGACCGATTATAGATCATGCTTAATCAATGGCTGTTTCTTTTAAATTTAGCAAATTGGCAGCTTCATTAGTAATGGAAAGATTAATATGGAACTATGCCATGGAAACTATAAACCGTAATTAAAGAATTTAATAATAAAGTAAAAAGGAATTTAAACCTGCAGCAGTTTGGGAAATTGATGGATGTTTCAGCTACGGCGCCATCTTCTGGTCAGACACGGGAATGCATTCATGCATTATGGGTATTCGCCGTTGAAGTGAACCAGTGGTGTAGTAGTCTATACGTGATACGCAGGTAAGATCAATAATGAATGTGTTGCCTACGTTTTGAATGCATTTAGTAAACTTAATAACCTAGCTTTAGTAGCTTTCAGTGAATAAACGCGTCTGAGAAAAATATTCAGGCAAAATCAACCTATCAGTGACCCTATGTTTACTTTCTTCACTGACAGACAAAAATGAAAAGCCCTATCGCAGTCAAAGCTCAGCTTTAGGAGGGGAAGACACAGGGCAAGATAAAAACAAAGAGAAAAAGAGGGTGATGCTATCATATCACAGTATGATCACTACAAAAAACTAGACTACACCACTGCGTTGAACGTACATGACGGTTGTAGACTTGTTATTGCGGTGCATTGTGGGATTGAATCAGTGCACATGATAATGTCCACTATGGTTTTAGACACACCTACAAATGGCTGTCCCCTCAAATAGTACCCTATTTAAGGTTATAGAGAGTGATTTTGGACACATGCTTCGAAAGACTGTACTATTTATTCTGATGTATTTTTAAAATATGCATCATCTTTCCTTCTGGACTAAAATAGGCTAAATAAATAAAAATTCAAGTCCAGATTAATGTCTGTGTCAGTAAAGCGTATACAACATGTGTTTTGCATTTCAACACTCTGGTGTTGTAATGTTTTTCAAGGACTTTTAATTTGTAATCATATTTTACAGATTCATTTGTTTCATTGATTACTTTAACACGTTTCATATTAAGTTCTATTATCTTGTGTATTTAAGGCCTTCAGTTCTCTCAGTGTTTGACTTTGTATATTAAAGTTCGGTGTGTTTTTGTGTCAGAATCATTGAAATAATTAAATTCTTGAGGAAAAAAGAGAGAAATAAATGTTGGCATATAAGTATTTTGTAATATTTCTTTCTTTGCATATACAGGGGTTGGACAATGAAACTGAAACAACATCAATTCGTCTTGGGAATGGCAGATAGCCCAGCAAACAAATTTAGGTTCTGCGAACATTAGTTTTTGGTTCCCAGAACGTTCCTAGAACTTTCCCTTAAAGCTGTAGGAAAGCTGTGCAAGTCATGGGAGATGTTAAACTTCACTTTCATGTTCATCTAACCACTCTGTCACTAATCTTGCTGTATTGATGCATTATCATGCTGATGCACGGCATCCCCTTCAGGGTACAACGTTTGAACCTTTAGGTGCACATGATCCTCCAGAACAGCTCAATGGTTCTTGCCAATCAATCATCACAGAAGAGAAAGTCATGATATTCTTCACTCTGGGCAGCAACAGTCTGAGTGTTCACTGTAACTCCCAGATGGTGAAGGAGGACTCAGTGACCCATCGGTGTATCGTGTTTTTTTTTTTTTTTTTGGAGCAGACTCTATCCTACAGGATATATGAAACTTGCCCTCTCCCAAAACTCAGAAAGTTGTGGCATTAGAATTCAAAGCAATGTTTACAACAATTAAATACGATTGAATTTGTGGATTCAATAGTTTATTTGGGTGACAGTGGGTTGCTTAAAGGAGAACTCCGGCGCAAAATGAACCTTTAGTCTAATTACACATTGTTACCTAGTCAACCGTTATCTGAGATTTGTTTTCATGATTGCCGAATGTAAATAGTTTTATCTCTAAAAACAGTTTAGCCTATAACGCTAGTATAATGCTAGTATATAGGGCATAGAGTAATGACAAATAAAAATCGCTTGTTATTACCACTAACAAGGCTCAAAATAGCCCCACACCAAAACGACAGCATAACAAGGGTCCCTACATTCAAACCGAAGCGTTGAGAACTTTGTCAGTGTCCACACAGTTTAATAAGAAGATATTTTATACACACAGTAAATTTCGCGAATACAGGAAGAAGCCATCTTTGAAAAATAGTCTCTACCAGTCGATCTACGAACGCCGATCCAAGTGCGCTGAACTGTGCAGAATCTCATATGATCCGTTGTTTCCAGAAGAAACACAAACACAAACCGTTTTCTTCTCTTCAATATGTACACGTAGCCTACTGTTCGCGCTCACCTTATCACCTTATTCACATCTCACCAGCGCACTTGGATCGGCGTTCGTAGATCGACTGGTAGAGACTATTTTTCCAAGATGGCTTCTTCCTGAATTCGCGAAATTTACTGTGTGTATAAAACATCTGCTTATTAAACTGTATGGACACTGACAAAGTTCTCAATGCTTCGGTTTGAATGTAGGGACTCTTTTTATGCTGTCGTGTTACTGTGGGGCTATTTTGAGCCTTTTTAGTGGTAATAACAAGCGATTTTTATTTGTCATTACTCTATGCCCTATATACTAGCATTATACTAGCGTTATAGGCTAAACTGTTTTTAGAGATAAAACTATTTACATTCGGCAATCATGAAAACAAATCTCAGATAACGGTTGACTAGGTAACAATGTGTAATTAGACTAAAGGTTCATTTTGCGCCGGAGTTCTCCTTTAAAGTATGAAAAATGTAGTACATTTATGGTACATCAGCAGTGGAGAAAAACACCAGATTCACATCCACATCCAAAAACAACATGCATAAAAAACGTAAAACAGTAATTATCAAGAAAAACACAGATAAAGGTTAAGGCATAAATGTTGATCATTTTGATCACCCAAGTGAAATGCTAAAAAGGCCAGGTAATGTTTTAAGATAAATCTTTTCATGTTTTAGCATTGCAGATTGTCAGCTACATAGTACATCAACAGTGAAATATTCAAAAGGCATATATTTTAATGAATAACAGTTCTTCAAATGATTAAACAATGATCATTCATGACAGATCGAGAAAAAAAAAAACTACAGAAAATATAATTTCCAACTTAAATATTCAAGTCACCAATAACAGCAAAATACACGTGCTAAGATTTTGCATCCACATTAGCATACATGTACATGTCAAATTGTCAACTCTTCATGGTCCTCATTACAACTGTCTGATTTGAAGTTTCTGAAGCATTTAATTCAACGCCAAATGGTCATTTCATAGTTTTGGAGAAATTCACAAGGTTTCTTTGTCCACACGTAACACTGAGATAAATTACTTCTCAATAAGTGCAAAACATTAAATCAAAGTGACTGTCCTTCTCCGACCAGGACAATGCAGTAAACCAATTGAAAAGGAAGTACAAACAATCACCCAACCTGGATTTTATATTTAGAAAAAACAAAGGCACATTAAAAAAAAAAAAAAAAAAAAAAATCGATTTCTAACTTGGCCATTTAAATCACTTTGGCTTTGAGAAGATTTCCTGCACATGTTACGCTTTAAAGTGCAGATTATCTTTAACTGCTTTATAAATAGCGTGAGTGAAGATTCAACACCTCCATCACACAAACAGCACTGTGTAGTGTGCAAATTTCAATCTATGAAATAATACTGTAAAATGAGTTGAGTGCCAGTTCCTGTCTTCACTCATAAAAGAAAATACAAAAACAAAACACCCACACACACACTTGCACATAATAGGCGGCAACTCACAAAATTAACATTTTCCTGAAAACCCTTTTTAGATATACATTTCTTTTTGCATGAATTCTGCACATGTAGTAAATAGACGTGTTTTAGTCTCATTTGAAATAACGTAAAGGATCCATGCATATGACTATGTCGTTAAGGCATTTTATCTTTGGTAGCTTGGTAGCATTTTAAACAATAAAGTCCGAGTGCTTGTGTTTGCGTGTGAAGGACACTAAACCATTTCTAACCTGACCCTTCAGCTGCCTGATTGTCACACAGAGAACACAAACAGCCTGTTCTGCACGTTTGTAGTGTCTTATAGGAGACGTTGGCAACATAAACAGAGACCAGTGACGTGAAAGACAGATGTGCAAATGTCCTGCATAGACAGAAAACGAGTTACAGCTGAACTCATGCGGCTCCAGATATGTCTGCTATCTACACATGGCTGATAATGAGATAAAATGGAAGTGAATACCCCAAACAAAGTAAAAAGACTATCCAACATAAACCAGGAGATGTTAGGATTAGGAACCAGTGGTGTGTGATTCTGATGAAAGAGAGAGGATTGGTTTGTGGCATGAGCTTCTCTCATTGGCCTGTGTTAGGTCAGACAGTCTGATAACATCTCGACCTTCAGAGGCGCGGAGGCTGTGGTCGGACACGTGCACTGGTCGATGTTCTGGCTGTTCAGGCTGAGCTGGATTTTGAGCTTTTCCAGCTCGTAGTCGTGCAGGTACTCCTGGATGAGGTAGCGCTCACGCTTTACACGAGCCTTCACGTCTGACGGCACGTCGGGGATCAGCCACGCCACAAAGAACTTCACCACAAACACCACATGCTGGGAATATTGATGACATGAACATATTAGAAAAGTCAACCTAAGTAAGATTAAAACACCTAACAGCAAATTCAATATTCTACATGTATAATCCGCTTTCAATAAAGATTAATGTTGAAACGGATGAAATGCTCCTTTAACCCTCAGGTGCTCTTCGGTCATTTCTGACCGAAAAAATGTATGTTTTAAAATGTTAAAAATCGCAGCTTCATCGGAACGTTACGAAGCTTGGCGACTTTTATGGCATTGGGTATGTGAACACACAAAAAAATTGAGGTCATTATCTGAGCATGCTAAGTGGTCGTAAAAAAAATAGTCACACTTGTGCTCTTCGGTCAAAAATGACCGACCATAGGAAATGAATGGGAAATTGACAAAAACACAAAAACTTTGAGATTTTTTGTGTGTACAATCTACAAATCGGCCACGATGCAGAAAAAAAGTGCTCAGCATTGACGGGGTGACACTGTAAAACATCAAGAGTGCAAAACAGACATACCCACCCCTACGCACACACATACACACACACTTTTATACACAAAAACACCAATAAATTGTGATTAAAGAAATCTGTTTTGAATATTTAAAAATCACAGCTTCATCAGAAAATTACAAAACTTGGTGACTTTTATGGCATTGGGTATGTGAACACACAAAAAAATTGAGGTCATGATTCGAGCAATTTAAGTGGTCGTAAAAAAATGTGTCACACTTTTGCTCTTCTGTCAAAAATGACTGACCCATAGGAAATGAATGGGAAATTGATACAAAAAAAAATTCTCTGAATTTTTGAATGTACAATCTACAAATCGGCCACAATTCTAAAAAAAAAAAAAAGTACACCGCAGTAAAGGGGTGACACTCTACAACATTTAGAGTGCAAAACAGACACACCCACCAACACACACACACATACAAACACACTTTTATACACATACACACCAATAAATTTTGATTATAAAAAGTATGTTTTGAATTTGTAAAAATCACAGCTTCATCGTGATGTTACGAAACTTGGTGACTTTTATGGCATTATGTATGTGAACACACAGAAAAATTGAGGTCATGATCTGAGCATGCTAAGTGGTCTTAAAAAAAATAGTTGTGGTCTTTGGTCAAAAATGACCCCCATAGGAAATGAATGGGAAATTGTAAAAAAAAAAAGGAAAAAAAATTGTGAATATTTGTTTTTTGTCATTTTTTTTATAAGAAATAGTTTTTGAGATTGTTTCAACTTTATATACAAATCCACCAACAACAACAACAAAAATGTGTTCATAAACAGCTGGGGAATTCACATGCCTCTCAATAGAGAGCTGTACATGCCATCTAGTGGTTACACCATGATTCTACGCTTTACTGTAACCGGATGGTGCTAATTTTATTCCAAAAATATTTTTTTTCTGAAGGCCTAGACTCTATATTAAACTAAAATACTGCATTAATATTTTTTTGAAGAAAATAATATATATACAGAAAATAATATATATTTTTCTATGGCAAAAATAAACCATAAATATTGCATAAATATGAATAAATTCATTTAAATTGTCTCAAAATACTAAATTAAAAAGAATAAATATTATAGAACAAAAATAAATTGCAATGGTTTTACTGGGATGGAGAAAGTTTCATTTTTAGGTGTCCGGTCACTTTTGACCGGGAAGATAACAAGTGTGACTCCGAAACGAAGAGCACCTGAGGGTTAAAACCGTTTTGTTTGAATGAGAGAGTAATGTGAGCCCAACACAGCTTACTTTCACTTTCACTTTAAATTATTTCGGTTATTTATTGTTTATATTTTTTTTTCTGTTTTGAATATCATTAAATGTAAATTATTGCTTGTGGAATATTTTGAGTGTATCATAAAAGCAGAATAAATCTCTCATTTTAGTGATTCCCTAGTTATTTTTTTATTTAAATTTTTAATCAGGTAAGGCAAGTAATATTGACAGGGTGCTGATCGCGATCAAATTTCATAAAACATGCAAATAAGTGTCCAACACATTACATTCAGTTTCCAATTAAAATATATTATTTTAAAGTATATGATTTGCATACTTTTCAAAGTTCTGTTTCTGAAGGGAATGGGGAATTTAAAGAGCCCTTACCTCCATGATGATGATGAACGCTAATTTGGCCGCTAGAATATGCCAGAACTGCATAGTGTGCTTGTACTCTTTCTCGTGTCCTGAAGGGTAGCGGTAGTCACGGTATCTAGAAGATCAACCAACTTCATGTTTATCAGTGTTACCATGAATATCTGTGGAGAGACCCAGCACAAACATACACTACAGTACCTGCAGGTGGTGATGTTGGTGCTGTCGTACCACTCTGGGTTCTCGCCGTCCTCGGGACGGTTTTCGATCGGAATCTGGGAGATGTTGAAGACTGAAAGGCTGTTGTTGATGTATCCTTCCATAGTGATCTCATTGCCCGGGTGATACGCATACAGATACACCAGCCGAGGGATCATGTCAGACGTGAATGAGACGATGAAAGCCTGACGAACAAATCAATAACATTATTACTGACATTAAAGGAGTAGTTCACTTTAAAAATAATTGCTGATAATTTACTCAGCCCCATGTCATCCAAGATGTCGAAAAGAAAAGAAATTAGGATTTTTGATGAAAACATTACAGTATTTTCTCCATATAATGGACTTCAATGGGAACCAAACGGTTCAAGGTCCAAAAGACAGTTTCAGTACAAACTGTTCAAAGGGCTTTAAACGACACCAGACGATGAATAAGGGTCTTATCAAGCGAAACGAACGCTCATTTAAAAAAATAAATAAATAAAGTTTAAGTTTTATGAGCACAAATGCTCGCCTTGCTCTGTTCTGTGATGAGCGTTCGTGACTCTCCTGTTCGAACTCGTTCATCAAAATGAACGATTCTTTTTTCGAGTCATTTGGTTCATTCAACAAACAAAATTTGTTTTTGAGCTCATAAAACTTAAACTTTGTTTTATTTATTAAATGAGTGATCGTTTCGCTTGATAAGGCCATTATTCATCGTCTGGAATCGTTTAAAGCCCTTTGAACAGTTTGCACTGAAACTCTCATTTGGACCTTGAACCGTTTGGTTCCCATTGAAGTCCATTATATGGAGAAAATCCTGGAATGTTTTCATCAAAAACCTTAATTTCTTTTCGACTGAAGAAAGAAAGACGTGGACATCTTGGATGACATGGGGGTGAGTAAATTATCAGCAAAAGGTTTTTTCAAAAGTGAACTACTCCTTTAAGTAATACTAAATCAAACAGACTCACATTGGTGACCACTGAGAAAACAGCGATCATGTTGAGGATCTCCTCCCATGCCCCAATGCTGTGAGCTTTTGCTGCCACGGGCCTGCGAAACTGAGTCGTGAACTTCCAGGCATCCACTCGCACTTCCAAGATATTATTCATCAGAGCCAGCAGAGGAGCCAGCGGGAAAGAGGCCACAAACAGGGTGATGAAGCCAAACTGGATAACTGCAAAACAAAGATGAGATGAAGTGCTGCTCCACACAAAGATAAGCTACAGCACCATCTGTCTGCAAAACTGACTTACTGCAGGTTGAAAGCAAAACGTTACAAGTAAAGCTACTTTGAAACTAGTTAAAGGGATAGTTCACTTTGAAATTCATTTTTGGTGTGTTTTATCTTACCTCAAGGGCATCCAAGATGTAGGTGTCTTTGTTTCCGCAGTATTTTCAATTTAGATATTTTTAGGTCAAACCGTTCTTGTCTGTCAGTCATATAATGGAGGTCTATGGTCTTAGGCCATCAATGTTTACTTACATTTACGAGTCATTAAATCATGTTTAATCTGGACTTTAATCTGTGTATGCTCTTTGAGGTGGTGACCATAGACCTCCATTATATGGTTTGACCTAAAAATGTCAAAATTGAAAATACTGTGGAGACAAAGACACCTACATCTTGGATGCCCTAGAGGTAAGATAAAACATACCAAAAATTCATTTCAAAGTGAATTAATTCATTTTATACTGTATCATATATCTCATTTAATTCCTTTTCTAACTATTTAAATTTTCCTTGCTTTTATTCTGTGATTATTTTGATTCCTTTCTGTGTAAAGCACTTTAACTTGAACTTTTTTTGCCCGAGAGAGTGTGTGTGTGTGTGTGTGTGTCTCCACTCACCCATCTCCAGGTACTCGTAGAACAGGCCGAGCTGACTGAAGGTCTGGAGGTCATGGTCCTGCTCCCAGCGGCTGTACAGGCTCTCTGGATGATTACGAGCACTTCTGCTCACCCACCAGTTACGCAACCAGCTGAACATATAGAAATATATAAAACACTACCCTCTATCAATAAATAAACAATGAACACTAATAAATCAATTGAAAACACTAAAAAATACATAGAATCTCACAGCCATATTGAGTGGATCTGAATTATTATACTCTGTTTAGTCATGAAATTAAAGGAGTAGTTCACTATTCAAAAAAACTTTTGCTGATAATTTCCTCGCCCCCGTGTCATCCAAGATGTCCACGTCTTTCTTTCTTCAGTCAAAAAGAAATTTAGGTTTTTGATGAAAACATTCCAGGATTTTTCTCCATATAATGGACATCAATGGGAACCAAACGGTTCAAGGTCCAAATGAGAGTTTCAGTGCAAACTGTTCAAAGGGCTTTAAACGATTCCAGACGATGAATAAGGGTCTTATCAAGCGAAACGATCGCTCATTTAATAAATAAATAACAAAGTTTAAGTTTTATAAGCTCAAATGGTCGCCTTGCTCTGTTCTGTGACTCTCCTGTTCGAACTCGTTTATCAAAATGAACGAATCTTTTCCAGAGTCAACTCATTCATTTCGTTCGTTGAATGAACCAAATGACACGAAAAAAGATTTTTCATTTTGATGAACGAGTTCGAACAGGAGAGTCACAAACGCGCATCACAGAACAGAGCAAGGCGAGCATTTGTGCTTATAAAACTTAAACTTTGTTATTTATTTATTAAATGAGCGATCGTTTCGCATGATAAGACTCTTATTCATCGTCTGGAATCGTTTAAAGCCCTTTGAACAGTTTGCACTAAAACTCTCATTTGGACCTTAAACCATTTGGTTCCCATTGAAGTCCATTATATGGAGAAAATCCTGGAATGTTTTCATCAAAAACCTTAATTTCTTTTCGACTGAAGAAAGAAAGACATGGACATCTTGGATGACATGGGGGTGAGTAAATTAAGTGAACTACTGCTTTAACAGTACATATTTTACAGCTTTGTGTGAATGGAAATGTGTCATTCACTAATGAAACGCTGAAAAACTTCATAAAATATGAGACAATTACATTAGACCAGAGACATTAATGCAGAACAACATACTGAACATAATTCATCGGTCTCATTTTCATTTCATGCTAAACGGCACTGAGTGAGTGAGGCAACTCCCCAAAATCACTGAACCTCGTCTAACTAGCCTGAGTTTAATTATGTCCACATGTATGCATCACAATTATATAATACGATTATCTCATATAAAATCTGCTGAAAGAAGAGATAAAGCAATGAAGAACATTATGAGCATTAATAATTCTCTGTAGAATGAAGAAAAAAATGTCAGTAGCACAATACACTGCAAAATGAATCAATCATTAAAATGAATTACAAATCCTTTAAACCATGGCTTCCTCATTCACAGTCCTGGAGTTGTTTCGTTTCGTTCCAGCAGAATCAACTGATGGCCAGGTGAACTGGAGCACATCTGGATCTAAACTCTGTAGGTCGTTGGCTCTCCAAGAGCAGGGATGAAGAACACAAATACAATCCCTGGGTCGAAAGGCAAGTAGATGCTTACTTGTGTGACGTTGTTGATTCGTCGACTGGTGCACTTGATCTCGTATTCGGGTCTAAGCTGAAGCTGTTGTTGCTCTTCCTCAAAGTCGACCAGATCCCACTCGTACTCCAGTCGGGCCTGACGCCGCTTCCAGAACTCCAGGAACAGAGTCACTGACACCAGACCACAATACAGCTTCAAATACACTGATCATCTGCATTCATGAATGCATTATATTCATATCCTTTCAAAAAATGATGGTTTCCACGCAAACCAGATGTCATGACATGCCAAACACAATGTTTATTGAAAATCTGGACTGACAACTAGTTTTAGTAGAAGAATCATCTATTACCATTAGAGTAAACTAGTGAATTAGTAAACTAATTCAAACTATCTAAACATTAAAGGAGTAGTTCACTATTCAAAAAAACTTTTGCTGATAATTTACTCACCCCCATGTCATCCAAGATGTCCACGTCTTTCTTTCTTCAGTCAAAAAGAAATTAAGGTTTTTAATGAAAACATTACAGGATTTTCTCCATATAATGGACTTCAATGGGAACCAAACGGTTCAAGGTCCAAATGAGAGTTTCAGTGCAAACTGTTCAAAGGGCTTTAAACGATTCCAGACGATGAATAAGGGTCTTATCAAGCGAAACGATCGCTCATTTAAAAAATAAATAACAAAGTTTAAGTTTTATAAGCTCAAATGCTCGACTTGCTCTGTTCTGTGATGCGCGTTCGTGACTCTCCTGTTTGAACTCATTTATCAAAATGAACAAATCTTTTTCCGAGTCAATTCATTCATTTCGTTCATTGAATGAACCAAATGACACGAAAAAAGGTTCATTTTGATGAACGAGTTCGAACAGGAGAGTCACGAACGCGCATCACAGAACAGAGCAAAGGCGAGCAGTTTTTTGGACCTTAAACCGTTTGGTTCCCATTGAAGTCCATTATATGGAGAAAAATCCTGGAATGTTTTCACCAAAAACCTTAATTTCTTTTCTTTTTTTTTTTAAGTGAACTACTTCTTTAAGTATTACTTTAGTTATACCTCGTCATGCAACAAATAATGATAGTTATGGATATAGTGTGATTATGATGTCATGGGGACTTACGGGACGAGCGCTTCCTGAATGTTCCCCCAAACCTGTTTACCCACCATCACTATCACTAACTGAGTGGTTAACTCAATCAAACAGCCACCTGGCTCGCACTGGAAAGACAATTATAATCATCACAAATAAGAACTTCATAATAATTCATGAATTATAATTACACACAATAATATGCATTGTATTGTGCTAAAGTTACACAGACAATCATCCATGTGAAACAACATTTTAAAAGGTGAAATAATAATGGGATTGGAAATAATTCTCATGGGATGTCAGGTCTACCTCTTCATTTCTCAACCCGCTCCACTTGCCGAACATGTAGGCGTAGTTGCCAGGGTAACCCACAAATTTGCCCTTGAAAAAGGCGACGTAAAAACATGAGGAATAGTAGTTGACAAACTGGAAGAGGAACATCTTCACCGTCAGCTTGTTCTCGTACTCCACGTGCGTTTTGGGAACCTCTGTGGAGTGAATAAAAGTCAGAGTGCAAACCTACAAAAATAGCTTTATTACGGAAATACTTCAGTAACTGTACAATTACTTATTCACCAGTATTTATGTAAGGGTTAATGCCCGACGAGGCGTCCAGTGTCAGGTTTTAATGGACGACGGCGAGGCGTAAACCGGCCGACGCGCAGCGGAGGACGGTTGCCTCCGCCGAAGTCCATTAAAACCTGACAATGGACACCTCGGAGGGCATTAACCCGCTTATACCATGGTCACTTGCCAAATAAAACATTTTAAAAACATTAGTTTATATTTTAATTAGGCTAAATCTAGTTTTTACAAATAATAACTTGACTGACTGTTTATCTAGCAACCGGAGATATTTAGCCTATAGTCCGCTTAGCTCGTATCCCTTCAGGTTCACAAATGCATTTTTTTTCATGAAACACAAAGGTAGGCATAGTTTTTTTTTATTACACCTAAAACAATTAATCAAACAACAATAAAAAAACAATTAGCTTTGAGCTCCAGCGATTTGCGCTTAACGTTATAGAGGGCAATAAATTAATCAGATCAAAGAGAGGGTCATTTGCCTCAGGCTCCTTAGGCTTGAAACGCTGTAACGTTCAGCCTTCTCCTGCCTTGGTTGTCTGGACAGCTGCGTAAAACTCCCGCAGGGTCTCATTCAGGGGTGCGTTTCCCGAAAGCATCGTTATGTCGCAAGTTACGTCGTTACCACTAGAGTCCAATGGAGCAGAGCAGCAGCGGTGTAATTTTCTCCGTTTTATTTACATTTTTTCTTTCTTCAGCAGCATACCAGTCGTCAAAGTTGCCATATTCTCCATAAATGTTAAAAGAAATAGCACGAAGTCGCTCATTGTTGTATTAGGCTATAATATCTAACGTTAGATGATAGAGCATGTGACTGCCTGTTGCTATGGTTACTCACAGCCGTTGTAGGCAGCGCATTTATTTATTAATTTCGAATGGTAAACAGGCAGTTTCACCAGAACTACTTTACTAGGTGTCCTCTATCACTTTTTAACGGACACCCTGCAGCCAATCAGAATCGAGTATTCACCCAGACCATGGTATAAGAATTAATTGGAACATATCAGAAAAATCGAGTTGCAAATGACAAATACAATAAATTAATAGGGGGAAAAAATCGAAATGATCATAAATAACATTGATTTATAGTCTTATTTAAAAGGTATTTATTATATTTTTTAAAAAGTTACAACATTAGTCAGCATAATTGAGGTAAAGAAAGAGTCTGGGAGATAAAGACTCACCCATGTCAGTGATCTTGATGGCTACGCGCTCATACAGGAAGTTCAGGATCATGATGATGACGAAGTTGATGCAGGAAGCAGTTACGGACGTGGCAAACTGCGGTGTGATGAGGCTTCCAACCACATCCAGCTTATTGGTTTCGTTTTCCTTCATGATGCTGGCAAACGCCGCGAACACTGCCAGACGGTACGCGATCACACCGATTATACTGGCGATAATCAGAGAGATCTGGGTTTCGGGGCGAGAGAGGTAAACGTCACACACAAAACGACTCACACACTGCAATTAGTGTACACTACTCAATTATTCATATAAAAATATTGTAATTTTTTTGTTTTGTTTCTAAGAACACTGTGGAAACTAGGAACTACGTCATGCCAAAACAGTGAAACGCCTCATGCTGGTAAAAACATGCATCCTCAGGCAAACTTAACTTACTGACTTACTGATGTGTGACTCTGTGTCCGTACAGTCCAGTGACTTATTAACATTTAATCAGAAGTCTAACACAGATATTACGCTAATAGGTATTTGCTACAGTATATAATAGCTCTGTTTCAAATCTACTACCAACATTGGCAGCTTCTAAGGGTATATTTATATGACAACTATGTCCAAAAAAAAAAGTGTGCAGGCGACGTTGTCAAATCGATCCCGTTCACACGGATCCGCAAAAAAGACTAAAATCGCTGTATTCTGCTGCCTGGCCAGTAGTTGGCGACATCACTTTGTAAAGAAACACGCGCAGCTATGGACTGAACGCGTAATACGCATGCGCATGACGTCACTGTTTTCACAAATGTATGGTTTTGTAGTTTACATGAAGACAATAACAGTATAATTTTCAAAAAACGTGAAACCCGATTTGAAAAGCTTGCGATTTCAGGCCACCATAACCAAAAGTTTTCGGTTTTTGGTTGAAAACGATGTTGCGTAAACGCCACCGAACTGCTGTGAAATCTCTTAAGTTATTCATTTGGAACTGCACAAAGGCAGTCATTAAATACAATACAATAACAATATATAATTTAATTCGCAACTTTAAACAAAAAGTGTTCTATATGCAATGTTTACTGAAGATTTGATTCACAATGGATTTAAACTGTTTTTGATATTAGCATGTTGCTTAGCTAATGACACAACACTCTAATAAGCATGGAAGAACATAGCACATGCATATATTGAGTAAACAGTCCGACTTTCGGTTTTAAATAACATCTTTGCACATGATGTCTTAAGGCTACACGGAAACGATCTGAAGAGAAAATGCAAAAGTGGCGCTGCGTTATCACTTTTTATTCTTCGTTTAGACGAGCGTTTTGGGTGGGAAATCCGCGTGCATATGGTGATGCAAAAGTGTGTGCGTACAACCTTCACTGTCTAGCAGACTTTTACGTTTTTACCGGTTTTTACCGTTTAGACGGGAACACGACGGTGGAGCGTTTTTAAGATTTCCACTCTAGAGGGTGGTTTCACTTTTTTGCGTTTTTAAGCCCAAAAACGCCGTCGCCGTGTAAACGAGAGGCACATCCGATAAAATATTTTTACGTTTTCACCCGCGAGCGTTCTCGTGTAAACAGGGCCTAAAGGCTAAAAAACGGTAAAAACGTAAAAGTCTGCTAGACAGTGAAGGTTGTACGCAGGCGTTGTTGTGTGACAGTGCTTCACATCGCCACCTAGCTGCCTGGAGTGCATACTACATAGAATTTCACACACTGTTGCGTCACCATATGCGAGCGGATTTCCCACCCAAAACGCTCGTCTAAACAACGAATAAAAAGTGATAACGCAGCGCCACTTTTGCGTTTTCTCTTCAGATCGTTTCCATGTAAACATAGCCTTAGACGGGAACGCGACGGTGGAGCGTTTTTAAGATTTCCACTCTAGAGGGTGGTTTCACTTTTTTGCGTTTTTAAGCCCAAAAACGAGAGGCACATCCGATAAAATATTTTTACGTTTTCACCCGCGAGCGTTCTTGTGTAAACAGGGCCTAAAGACCAAGAGTGCTCAATCCTGTTCCTGGAGATCTACCTACAGTACCAGCAGAGCTAGGGAGACCAACCCCGATCCAACACACCTGTGTGTGATAATCAAAAGCTCCTGGAGATCTGCATTAGCAGCTTCAGATGTGTTGAATCAGGGTTGGATGAGCTGTGCAGGAAGGCAGATCTCCAGGAGTGGGATTGGGATAGGATTGCCTGTTAGCCATTGGAACAGAGCCAATATATTCAATGGGGTTCAAAAATCTGAGACCACTAGTGAAAATGTTTTTTGTGTACTTTGTTAAGAGCATTTGGCTTTATTTAAAAAAGAAAAAAAAGGGAATTTCATAGTATTTTGTGTCTCTATTTTGTGTACATGAAAGCAGCACTCGAGCTGAACCAAATCTGACGTTATCCAGCATGATTTGAAAATGATCCAAAGTACCAAAGAGCATTAAACAAATTTGCTTATTGAAGAAATAATGCAGTCTCAAATATTTCTCGATCACCTCATCCGTGTCCTAACGACACACGATAACAGGTAATCAGACTTTTTGTCCTGTTCAACCATGATGGCGATACACAACGAGCGATGGGAGTATATTTTAGAAACCGTTTCTACAACAACATACAAAATATGACGATGATAATCTCATGTCATGATCCATCCATCATAAAAGTAATCCTTACGGCTCCGGGGGGTAAATAAAAGCCTTCTGAAGTGAAGCGAGGCATTTGTGGAAGAAAAATATCCATTTAAAAAAACGTTATAAACTAAAATAACTAGCTTCCGACAGTTGTGTTTGTTTGAAATAAGAAAGTCATAGACACCTAGGACGGCTTAAAGGGATAGTTCACTTTGAAATTAATCTTTGAAATGTTTTATCTTACCTCAAGGGCATCCAAGATGTAGGTGTCTTTGTTTCCGCAGTATTTTCAATTTTGACATTTTTAGGTCAAACCGTTCGTGTCTGTCAGCCATATAATGGAGGTCTATGGTCACCACCTCAAAGAGCATGCACAGAGAAGTCGAAATTAAACATGATTTAATGACTCGTGAATGTAAGTACACATTGATGGCCTAAGACACAAAACGAGCGGTTTGTGTGAGAAAACGAACAGTATTTATATCGTTTTTACCTACGAGGCTGTGGTTACAAGAGGTAAAAACGATATAAATACTGTTCGTTTTCTCACACAAACCGCTCGTTTCGTGTCTTAGGCCATCAATGTGTACTTACATTTACGAGTCATTAAATCATGTTTAATCTGGACTTCTCTGTGCTGCTCTTTGAGGTGGTGACCATAGACCTCCATTATATGACTACTGACAGACAAGAACGCTTTGACTGGTTGATTAATTTCAACATGAACTATCCCTTTAAGGGGCAGTAAATCATGGGCAATTTTTTTTTTTTTTTTTTTGGGGGGTAATTTATGATGTTTAAAAATCGTAAAACTTCCAAGTTTCAAAGTATCTCCAAGTTAAATCCCAAATTTTCAGTGTTGTTTAAGACTTTTGAACCCCTCTGTATTTTTGTACATATGTGCTAATATAAAAAGGTGACAACATTTGTACTTTACTGTATAAGGAAAATGAAAGTCTCAGTCTGCTGTAAGTAGCAGACGGTTGTGATGCTCACCCAGAAGAGGACGGTGGCCCCAGACAGCATTGAGCGAGCACACTTGCTTGTTAGAGGTAAATAGGGCTCCATCTCCTACACAGCAAGCAAGCAAAGCAGGGAACATGAGCAACCACCACCACACACACACCTGGGACAGAAGCCCTAATCTAGCACTGCACTAGTGCTGTCACTGTACACACTGCTGTCTAGAGGACTCGTCCTGTTTCTAATGAGATCGCTAGAATCAGATCAATTCTACGACTAGCTGGGATCACACGGCGAGCAGGTCGCTAATGCTATATACACACACTCACACACATCAAACCAATCTCTTTTCGTCCTGTGCCTGTCTTACCCACAAGACTACAGTGGTCCAGCACAGGAGAAACCTGCCTGCTTTATCAGCTGGTGTCTGGTCTAGAACCCACTCCTGTTCCTATACAGCGTGAGCAAAGTCAAACAAACACGCAATTATCTAGTTTCTCAGTAAACTAACCTGGACGTCCAACACCTGAGGGGACTCTGTAAACTCATTTTCTGTCCATTTAATACTGTTAGACAGCAAATTTTTACAAACCCAATCCAAACCACATTCATATGTAAAGGGTTTGAAACTGAATCGGATTTCAGATTCACTAGTTTTCTCAACATTAAAGGAGTAGCTCACTTTTTAAAAAAAAAAAAAAAAAAAAAAACGTTTGCTGAAAAAAAAAAAACTAATTTAATCGCCCCCATGTCATCCAAGATGTCCTTGTCTTTTTCTTCAGTCGAAAAGAAATTAAGGTTTTTGATGAAAACATTCCAGGATTTTCTCCATATAATGGACTTCAATGGGAACCAAATGGTTTAAGGTCCAAATGAGAGTTTTAGTGCAAACTGTTCAAAGGGCTTTAAACGATTCCAGACGATGAATAAGAGTCTTATCATGCGAAACGATCGCTCATTTAATAAATAAATAACAAAGTTTAAGTTTTATAAGCACAAATGGTCGTCTTGCTCTGTTCTGTGATGTGATCTTGACTCTCCTGTTCGAACTCGTTCATCAAAGTGAATAAATCTTTTCCAGAGTCAACTCATTCATTTCGTTCGTTGAATGAACCAAATGACACGAAAAAAGATTTGTTCATTTTGATGAACGAGTTCGAACTGGAGAGTCACAAACGCGCATCACAGAACAGAGCAAGGCGAGCATTTGTGCTTATAAAACTTAAACTTTGTTATTTATTTATTAAATGAGCGATCGTTTCGCTTGATAAGACCCTTATTCATCGTCTGGAATCGTTTAAAGCCCTTTGAACAGTTTGCACTGAAACTCTCATTTGGACCTTGAACCGTTTGGTCCCCATTGAAGTCCATTATATGGAGAAAATCCTGGAATGTTTTCATCAAAAACCTTAATTTCTTTTCGACTGAAGAAAGAAAGACATGGACATCTTGGATGACATGAGGGTGAGTAAATTAAGTGAACTACTGCTTTAACAGTACATATTTTACAGCTTTGTGTGAATGGAAATGTGTCATTCACTAATGAAACGCTGAAAAACTTCATAAAATATGAGACAATTACATTAGACCAGAGACATTAATGCAGAACAACATACTGAACATAATTCATCGGTCTCATTTTCATTTCATGCTAAACGGCACTGAGTGAGTGAGGCAACTCCCCAAAATCACTGAACCTCGTCTAACTAGCCTGAGTTTAATTATGTCCACATGTATGCATCACAATTATATAATACGATTATCTCATATAAAATCTGCTGAAAGAAGAGATAAAGCAATGAAGAACATTATGAGCATTAATAATTCTCTGTAGAATGAAGAAAAAAATGTCAGTAGCACAATACACTGCAAAATGAATCAATCATTAAAATGAATTACAAATCCTTTAAACCATGGCTTCCTCATTCACAGTCCTGGAGTTGTTTCGTTTCGTTCCAGCAGAATCAACTGATGGCCAGGTGAACTGGAGCACATCTGGATCTAAACTCTGTAGGTCGTTGGCTCTCCAAGAGCAGGGATGAAGAACACAAATACAATCCCTGGGTCGAAAGGCAAGTAGATGCTTACTTGTGTGACGTTGTTGATTCGTCGACTGGTGCACTTGATCTCGTATTCGGGTCTAAGCTGAAGCTGTTGTTGCTCTTCCTCAAAGTCGACCAGATCCCACTCGTACTCCAGTCGGGCCTGACGCCGCTTCCAGAACTCCAGGAACAGAGTCACTGACACCAGACCACAATACAGCTTCAAATACACTGATCATCTGCATTCATGAATGCATTATATTCATATCCTTTCAAAAAATGATGGTTTCCACGCAAACCAGATGTCATGACATGCCAAACACAATGTTTATTGAAAATCTGGACTGACAACTAGTTTTAGTAGAAGAATCATCTATTACCATTAGAGTAAACTAGTGAATTAGTAAACTAATTCAAACTATCTAAACATTAAAGGAGTAGTTCACTATTCAAAAAAACTTTTGCTGATAATTTACTCACCCCCATGTCATCCAAGATGTCCACGTCTTTCTTTCCTCAGTCAAAAAGAAATTAAGGTTTTTAATGAAAACATTACAGGATTTTCTCCATATAATGGACTTCAATGGGGACCAAACGGTTCAAGGTCCAAAAGACACTTTCAGTACAAACTGTTAAAAGGGCTTTAAACGACACCAGGCGATGAATAAGGGTCTTATCAAGCGAAACGATCAATGATTTAATAAATAAATAACAAAGTTTAAGTTTTATAAGCTCAAATGCTCGACTTGCTCTGTTCTGTGATGCGCGTTCGTGACTCTCCTGTTCGAACTCGTTCATCAAAATAAACGAATCTTTTTCCGAGTCATTTGGTTCATTCAACGAACAAAACGAACGAATTGACTCGGAAAAAGATTCGTTCATTTTGATGAACGAGTTCAAACAGGAGAGTCACGAACGCGCATCACAGAACAGAGCAAGTCGAGCATTTGAGCTTATAAAACTTAAACTTTGTTATTTCGTTTTTAAATGAGCGATCGTTTCGCTTGATAAGACCCTTATTCATCGTCTGGAATCGTTTAAAGCCTTTTGAACAGTTTGCAGTTTGTACTGAAACTGTCTTTTTGACCTTGAACCGTTTGGTTCCCATTGAAGTCCATTATATGGAGAAAACTGCTGGAATGTTTTCATTAAAAAACCTTAATTTCTTTTCGACTGAAGAAAGAAAGACATGGACATCTTGGATGACATGGGGGTGAGTAAATCAGCAAAAGTTTTTTCAAAAAAGTGAACTACTCCTTTAACACATTCTCTTAAATTACGGCCCATCCCTATTTTCATTGGCTGATCAACTGCACTAAAGCATGATGAGAAGCTGACAGTGGTTTGATGTAACAAATACAGAGAATAAGAGCACACAAATGTCTAAAAAGGTCTTTACTCACCCCATATCCCCATGAATATTGCAAAGAACACCGTGGCTGTGTTGTCAAACAGATACGATTGCTAAAAGGCAATTAGATGGAGAAGATATGACTTTACATCCATAAGTATGCAACAAAAAAACATGCTTGTTACACCATATAAACTTTTTTCCTCACCCAGGAAGAGCTGCAGGTTGTGCTGAGCTTCCAGTAGCCGCATTTCTTATCACAGAGAGGACACATGACAATCTGCCCTCCAATGGTCTCGTTACAGATCTCTTTACTACAGAACACAACAACAACTGTCTGTGAACCCAAACTCAGGCCTCTATGTGTTTCCGAAATGTGTCAAAGTGATTCTTAAAGGGATAGTTCCCTTTTTGAAATTAATTTTTGGTATGTTTTATCTTACCTCAAGGGCATCCAAGATGTAGGTGTCTTTGTTTCCGCAGTATTTTCAATTTAGATATTTTTAGGTCAAACCGTTCTTGTCTGTCAGTCATATAATGGAGATCTATGGTCACCACCTCAAAGAGCAGCACAGAGAAGTCCAAATTAAACATGATTTAATGACTCGTAAATGTAAGTACACATTGATGGCCTAGGACACTGTGTGAGAAAATGAACAGTTTTTATATCGTTTTACCTCTTGTAACCACAGCCATGTCCAAGTGATCGGGCGCTTCGGTCTGCACAAGTGCGTCAGAAGTGATCTCTTGCGTGGTTACGAACAAAATTCAACCTTGTCTGTTGATATCGAAATCGTCTTCCATTGCGATTTCCTGTATATCTAAATATGTTTAGATCTTCACAGTGAAGGGTAACACTTCTGAAATCTGTGTAAACAATGAGTGACGTACACGCGCGAGAGATCACTTGGACGTGACTGTGATTTTAAGAGGTAAAAACGCTATAAATACTGTTCGTTTTCTCACACAAACCGCTCGTTTCGTGTCTTAGGCCATCAATGTGTACTTACATTTACGAGTCATTAAAGGGTAACTAAACCCCTGGTCAGAGCCTGACTCCACCCACTAGCAATATTTGAAAAATGCTGAAAAAATGGGCAGACCCCAGCGGGGCTAGGGGGCGTGCACCTGAGAGACCCGCCGTGAGTGACAGCTGCTGTCAGACTCTAAAATAGAGCGAGACTGGTCTGGAGTGACTCAAGTAGCTGCCTTTGCAACAGAGCGGCCATTTGAAGTCGAGGACTTTTCTCCCTCACCTTCACCTTCACCTGAAGTGGATGAGGGTGAATTGTATGTAGGGCCAAATCCATTCGAGCTGCTGGCTCAAACTGCGGTCTTAACTCCCGCATCGCGACCGGCATCTGATGAGTTATGTCGTCGAGTTGATCTCAATAGCGCACGCTGGCATATATTCATATTGATATTATGCCGCTATATGAAAAAATCCAGCAAAATGCACCGGCTCGTTTGTCGACCCTAGAGGATTAACTTTATCCTAACCATAAATTGTTTTTAAAATATCCATGATCACTCACATCAAGACGCCGCTGCGGTGGAGGAGTCCATGCAGGACGAGCAGTGTTTGGCACTGCGTGTGGAGAAGCCCATGTCCACCTCTATTCCGTTACTATCCTGATCACTGTACTAAACACTGATAAATCTATGTTAACTTGAAGCTATCCTAACTGTACTATGCTACTAGCTACACAAAATAACCTAAATTATCTATATAATGCTATGCTAAATAGATGCAACAATACTCTATCCTGGTCGTTTTCAAAAAATAATCTAAATAACTATATGCTATGCTAACTAGATGCTATTATATGCTATAGTATCCTGATCGTTTTCAATATTCATAAATCCAACTCCTGACTCGCTACAGTAGTTTTGACGGAACCAGATGCTTTTATACCAGGGGCTGCCAAGGGCGTGGTGAGCTCGCACCAAGGGTGTGACAGAGTGCGTCTGAGAGTTCGCTACGTCAGCAAGTACCCCTACTGCAGGAGCTTTCCGTTTAACCTGAAGAGGGCAGCACTCAGACGTTTTTACACCATATATTTGAAAATCAAAACACTTTATACTCAATTGTCAAAAAATGTACTCGAATCAATGAACAGCATTTATGAAGCTCCATTCTTACAGATCATTAACTAAAAAAAGTTGTTTTGGTGTTTAGTTACCCTTTAAATCATGTTTAATCTGGACTTGTCTGTACATGCTCTATGAGGTGGTGACCATAGACCTCCATTATATGACTGACAGACAACACCGGTTTGACCTAAAAATATCAAAATTGAAAATACTGTGGAAACAAAGAAACCTACATCTTGGATGCCCTTGAGGGAAGATAAAACATACCAAAAATTATTTCAAAATGAACTATCCCTTTGATGCATTGCACTCTCAGCACTGCCACACGCATGAACTGTCTTCTTCTACACTCAGTTTTCTAGCCTCATCCTCACCTCCAGACGTTGTTGTCGAAGGTGGCCACGCCATAGATGAAACAGAGTAGACCAACAACTGCGGCATAAGACAGCATCTCGGTGTAGAAACCCAGCCAAGCGAAGTAGATGCCGATCTTCTCTCCATAGTACTTCCTTTGGTACAAGAAGCAGATTTGATTCAATGAAAACGTCCATCAACTCAAGGCATCACATTCTCTATATTTAACATTGAGGATTTTATATATATTGAGTTTATTTCTTTAACAAAAGCTAAGTATGCGACAGTCTATTTGAGTGACGATTACAAAAAGTGATGATAAACTGCTTTTAATATGCCATTAAGATTACTCTTTCATTAGACAAGATATGTGATTTCTCATTGGCTTGCGAGTATGAGAGTTTTAGAAAGATGTTAACTTATAATTCTGATTCATCATCTGGAAATGCTGTGTGGCATTTAACGGTAAATATTTTAGTATATACATATTTATGAATTGTATTGTTATACTGGTGCATTCAAATGGAAATGTTTAAACATTCATCCTTTTGTTCATTTGGTAAAAAAAGATCTATAAAATGTCTTGATTTTAACTAGATTTCCACTGTTTTGTGTGAATGTCTGCCCCCTAGTGCTACTGAAGAGCAAAAACAGGTTTCATGAACACTTGGTCAAACAAGAGGGTCGTTCTGCCCCAAAACTCACTTTTCCTAACCTTTATATTATACTTGTCTCTAAGCTGGGGTAGAAGAAAGTATTTCAACAATCACTAGATACAATTTTAACCTTTTTTTGTAAAAAAAAAAAAAAAAAAGATTGAATCTGTTTGCCTACAAATACAGAAGAATATCATTCCAACACAAAGTTTAATTCCAAATATCCAAAGGGTCACTTAGGGTCATGTGATCGGACAGAGAATGACTGTGAGGGACTAACTTATATAGCAAACACAAACGATTAATAGAACACAACTGACATTAACTAATAATGAGGAGCGGAAAACTGAACAAAGGAACACATCACTCAAAAAAAAAAAAGAACTTTACATACTATATTTATATTTATTTTACTTATAATTAGGGTTGGGTATCGTTTGAATTTGAACGATTCTGATTCCGATTCCGGTTCCTAACGATTCTCAATTCCGATTCTTTTAAGAGGCAGGGTCAAAAAAGTTTAGCTAACCTTGCTAACCAACGGTCTTTCTGAAGGAAATACTCCTTCTGTCACAAATTTTGCATTTTGCCGAGATTTCGCTATTTTTAGAAAAGTGAAGCCACACTTTGGACCGCCGACGTAAGCTACTCATGTTCGACTCGCGCGGTTATGCCAACACTTCCGGTAGACGCTTCTTCGTTGGTGTTGTTCAGCGGTTTCTTCTTCCGCTCGTCGGACTGTGAATATCGAAACTAGGAATCGAAATTTTAACTTTTGAACGATTCCGGGAAAAACGAAAAGTTAGTCCCGATTCCAATCGATACTCGATTCTCGATACCCAACCCTACTTATAATAATTGTGCTTTTTGACTTGAAAAGTTTTTTTTTTTTTTCCTATTAAGGTCTATGTGATTATGTCTCAACTTAACAGTACAAAAAATTGTACATCCAGAGGGTGGCAGTATACACTGTAAAAATGAATATGCTTTATCTAATCAATAAAATTGTGGCAACAGATTACAAGCAATATTATTAATTAGATTAAACAAATTAGAATTGAATAATAATTAATCAAATTATTCCTTAAAAGTTAACCATTTAAAAAGAGTAAAGTTTACACCAACAAAATTAAACTAAAATATCTGAATAACAGACAGATGTCAAAGATTAATTAAGAACTCTTTATTTTAAAGACACCTGATGTTAACAAGCAGAATCACTGAAGGAGAAAACCGTCATTTTAAAACAAACTCATTTTAACTTGTAAGGAATTAATTTGATTACTCAATTTGAATGAATAATATTGCTTGTAATCTGTTGCCACAATTGTTTTGATTAGATAAAGCATATTCATTTTTACAGTGTAGTTAATTTAAGTTTGTGTTGGATTACATGAATGATTTGTGTTGCATTAACTGAAACTGGGCGGTGCTTTTAGTTCCCAGCATGCTTTGCATACGGTTGAATGAAGAAAGAATAAATGTTAAAATCAAGAGTTATTTTATGTTTTTTTTTTCTTTAAAAATTCACGTTGAGACTACTTAAATTGGGTCAAATGACTTAATTCCATGATGTTGAAGTTACATGAACAAATGTTTGTTTAACGTAATCAAGTTATGTGGAACCTGTTGACGAAAAAAATTAAGTAAAGCCAACATATCATTTTTTTGAGTGATGATGAACAGGTTGAGCTGAGCAAATATGGGCAGACTCCTTAGTACTTCAAAAAGCCTTTTAAAGGTATACATGTGAATTAAACGTGGCACAACGGCCTTATGTTAATGTTTATCTAGTGAAAGGTATTTCATCAATGTGATGATTGAGGACTGTTGGGGCACTCCAGGCACGGGAGAGACCATTTGCTTCACAGGACGTATGCTTTCAACTACATACTGTTTATTTGGTCCCACTTTATATTAAGTGGCTTTACATACTATGTACTTACATTGAACAATAAGTACAATGTATTACTGTGTTCCTGTTGTATTGTAAAACACTTTTGCTGCTATTGAGGTGTGATACGGGTAAGGTTGGGGACAGGTGTGGTGGTATGCTATGGGTCGGTTTAAGGGTAGGTTAAGGTGTGAGGGGAGGGTCAACTGTGTAATTACAAATGTAATAAAGTAATTATAGCTGTAATTACATGCTGGTAGTTTTAAAATACAAGTACAATGTAAAAACATGTATGTACACAATAAGTCCATTGTATCAAATTATTAATTTCAATGTAAGTATATAGTACAAAGTGGGACCGTTTATTTAATACTGTCTTCTAATATGTAATTATGCCATGTTTGGTCTCATCTGACAGCTTATACACTGAAATGAATGGTGGTGAACTTAATAGACATATTGAAGTATCCTAATGTACAATCTAGGTACTATTGTTTGAACACGCATTGAGGAGAATATGTTAATGTTCTTCTCCCCTCTTGATCACCACACATTCTCCTCATCTTTTAGTTTCCTGTGGTCTGTTTCGGTGTTGGTATTCCTCTCATGTGTAACAATGCTTGGCTTAGGGTTTAAGAAGGAAAGATAACTGTTGATCTTGGAGAAGCTTTAACCTCGCCACTCCTTCTCATACTCTGAGGAAGGCTTTTACAGCCTTGTTTACATTATTTTTTTAAACTAAGTTTTCTACAGTATGTTTTTCCGTTCTGCTGTCTGGATATTTAAACATGTAACTTATCTTTAATCTTTCCTTTTATCACTGATGATGTTGAAAGCTTAAGTCAAGTGATTATGGCTTTTGTTATCTAAACGTTCAGGTTAAATCCTACGTTTTCCTATCAGTTCTAAGAAAGCCCTTTACCGCTAAAGAATGAGAGGTTAAAGAATAACAACAACTTTAATGGAGTCAGATTAAAGCTGCAGTAGGAAACTTTGAGAAAACGTTGACTCCTCCCCCCCCACCTTGTTCCGAGTCATTTGGTTCATTCAATGAATGATTTGACTCGGAAAAAGATTCTTTCATTTTGATGAACGAGTTCGAACAGGAGAGTCACAAACGTGCATCACAGAACAGAGCAAGGCGAACATTTGTGCTTATAAAACTTCAACTTTATTTGAAGTTTGAACCGTTTGGTTCCCATTGAAGTCCATTATATGGAGAAAAATCCTGGAATGTTTTCATCAAAAACCTTAATTTCTTTTCGACTGAAGAAAGAAAGACATGGACATCTTGGATGACATGGGGGCGAGTAAATTATCAGCAAAAGTTTTTTTTAAAAGTGAACTACTCCTTTAAATACAAAGCAAGCTGCGGTCGGCCTTACCGTATGAGGTTGAGCGGCTGCTCCTTGTAAAAGCAGCTGAAACCAGCCCAGTGTTTGTACAGGGAATAGCGTTCGCTCTCACAGTTAGAATCACGAGATCTTGTCCAGTACCTACACTGCAGAAACACACATTGATGTTATTGTTTTTGGACAGAGCAAAGCCTTTTGAATCATTGTCACCATTTCAAGTCTCCAGAGAAACTGGATAGTTTTGATGTAAAAGACCTACGTCATGAAGAGGGAAGGCAGATGTGTAGGTCCCGTTGTTCAGCAGCCTCTTAATGCCCTTCTTATCCTTGTCATCTTTACTGTACGGGATTCGGGAAAGGATGTAATATACCTACGTGGAGAAGACAATAAGCCAAGCCTTCGGTTACAGGGCAGTTCCTTAGTAAAAGCTACAGAAGGCTACTAGGGCTGTGAAACGATTAATCGTGATTAATCACATCCAAAATAAAAGTTTGTGTTTATATAATATATGAGCGTGTGGTGTGTATAATTATTTTGTATATATAAATACACACACATGCATGTGCATACAATATTTAACCCTCAGGTGCTCTTCGTTTCGGAGTCACACTTGTTATCTTCCCGGTCAAAAGTGACCGGACACATAAATTTCCTCCATCCCAGTAAAACCAATGCAATTTATTTTCTTTCTATAATATTTATTCTTTGTAATTTAGTATTTTGAGAAATTTGATTGAATTTATTAATATTTATGCAATATTTATGGTCTCTTTTTGCCAAAGAAAAAAACATATATATATATATATATATATATATATATATATATATATATATATATATATATATATATTTTTTTTTTTTCTTTGGCAAAAAGAGACCATAAATATTGCATAAATATTAATAAATTCAATCAAATTTCTCAAAATACTGCATTAATATTTTTTTGAAAAAATATATATATATATATATATATATATATATATATATATATATATTATTTTTTCAAAAAAATATTAATGCAGTATTTTAGTTTAATATAGAGTCTAGGCCTTCAGAAAAAAATATTTTTTTTAAGAATATTAGCACCATCTGGTTACAGTATAGAGAAAAAGCGTAGAATCATGGTGTAACCACTAGATGGCATGTACAGCTCTCTATGGAGAGGCATGTGAATTCCCCAGCTGTTTATGAACACATTTTTTTTTTTTTTTTTGCTGGATTTGAATATATAGTTGAAACAATCTCAAAAATGATTTTTTTATAATAAAAATGTAAATAAATAAATAAATAAATAAATAAATAAATAAATAAATAAATAAATAAATAAAAATGTGTCAATTTCTGTGTTTTTGTCAATTTCCCATTATTTCCTATGTATGTTCACAAACATAATGCCATAAAAGTCACCAAGTTTCGTAACATTGCGATGAAGCTGTGATTTTTAGAAATTCAAAACAGAAAATATTTCGGTCAGAAATGACCGAAGAGCACCCTTAAGAAATGTATATATAAATATTTGAACATTTTTCTTAAATATATACATGCATGTGAGTGTATTTATATATACAAAATAATTATACACACTAAACACATATATTATGTAAACAAAAACTTTTATTTTGGATGCGATTAATCGTTTCACAGCCCTAAAGTCTACAGCTGTGCTCTGGAAGTTTAGAGGTTAGTATGACCACACAGTAATGAAGAATGTGATATCTTTATACATCTGTAATGTATAATATTCCTATGTAATTTTTACCTGTGATGGCAAAACTAAGAACTTCATTCTTCAGTGTCAAATGATCCTTCAGAAATCATTCTAATAGGAACCATTGTTTCTATTTTCAATGTTGAAAAGCATTTTGCTGCTTCATATTTTTGTGGAAACTGTGAAATACTTCAAAAGTCTGGGTTAAGCATGACTAAAAAAATACTTTTATTCAGCAAGGACATGTTCATTTGATCAAAAGTGACAACACGTGGGAAAAGTAAATATTAGGGCCGTCAAACGATTAATCGCGATTAATCGCATCCAAAATAAAAGTTTGTGTTTACATAATATATGTGGGTGCACTGTGTTTAATTATTTTATATATATATATAAATACACACATGCTTGAATATATTTAAGAAATAGTATCATGTATATACTGTATATAGATTTATATATAATTTATATTATATATAAATATCAATATTTTGTAGATAAATAATATTTTTTTCTTAAATATACATACATGTTTGTGTATTTATATGTCTAAAATAATTATACACAGTGCACCCACATATATTATGTAAACACAAACTTTTATTTTGGATGCGATTAATCGCGATTAATCGTTTGACAGCCCTAGTAAATATATTTATAATTTTATAAAATATTTCTACTTTAAATAAATGTTTTTTTTTTTTAAAACAATTCTGAAAAATGTTAAACAGCAAAAATGTTGATAATAATAAGAATTATTATTATTATTAATTAAGAACTAACAGTAACTGATCATGTTTGAGCACCAAATCAGCATATTATAATGCTTTCTGAAGCATTGTGTGACACTGAAGACTAAATATATTTTATATCTAAAATAAATTACTGGCATTTCTAATGCCTAATAAGGTTTTTCTTACAATCCTGTTTCTCGTGGACGGAGGAAAGAAGGTTTCTTTATCTTCGATGAGGAAGAAGTCGATCTTGCTCTTGTCAAAGGTGTAGGTGAAGTAATCCGGCTCAGGGTTCATCACGTGATCAGGCAGACGGTAGGGCGTGAAGAGCCAGCCCATGGGCACTTCTTTTTTAGCTGGAATATCATTGGCTTTAAAAGGCACTTTGATTTTCAGGACATCTGCATACGTTGCCAGCACTTCCCATGGTACGTGGATCTTCAGGAAGTAAGTCTTTCCATCTTCCGACTCCTGGAAAGACTCCAGTGATCAGCTGTGTCTCTGTTCACTGTCCTCTAATGGATACTAACCGCTAAAACAATCCTTTATATTGTACCCAGCTAAACAAATGCGATGAAATATATTGCTAATGATCAGACATTGCAGAATCATAATAATCTAGAGCTTATGAATCAATATTTGTATTTGTGAGATACAGAGAGAACTAATCTGATGGCATATCAATATCCTGAAATGGCTTTTTGGTGGCTACAATATGTGAATTGTTTTACTCACAGATTTGTCCTCAGTCTCCAGGTCAAGTCCGGCTTTCTGTAAGTTAGTCTCAAACTCCTTCCTTCGATCCTGCATGAAAGATCAACCACACATCTGACAATCACAGAGTTGTGCTTTTGGAGAAATACATAGTACAGCGTTCCTGGTAACTACTTATGACAAGATTATTTCTGTTTGCAGAGCTGTAGAGCTTCCAGGCCTGGTAAAGCATATAATTTATGAGTAACGAGAATGTGGAAGTACATAAGACTATGACACACACACACACTTCACAAAGTAAGGGCTGACAGCACCGTTTGTGCTCACCTGGAGGACAGAGTTCAAAGCTTCTTACCATTGGCTATTAGTGGTGCAACGGATCATCACTGATCCGTGATCCGTTCGGATCAATGTCTTCGGTTCGGCACACACGTGATCCGCGGATTGATTATGAAAAAAAAAAAAAAAAAAAAAAAAAACGTGCGCATGTTGTTCAGTCAACGCACAGCTTCGTCATAGCGAGCGGAGGAACGGAGAAGCTTGAACGCCCCGCGTCATTTCAGGGCTCCAGACCAGACTGCGACCAAAATTTGAGAGTGTGCGACTGAATTTTACATCCAGTCGCACATGTGCGACCAGTAAATTTGCCACACGTTAAACGCATGGTAAAGCGGTGCGTCAATGAATCCGTGACAAGAATAGCGCGCGTAAACATCTGTGGGAGGGAGACGGAGACAAATATCACAACCTGATGTGCGTCTGAGCAATCAGCGATCTATCGACTCGTTAGTCGTTGCCTAGCAGCGAATGCAAACAAAATGAAAGTGGAACGAAAATACGCTACTCATTTATGATTAGGACCGTGGAGCAGCAGCAGCGATCCATTGACACAATAAAGCCCCGAACTTGACAGTCGCGGGCCGATCTCGCTCACGCGACACTGTTACTAGATCCAGTGAAGAAATCCATTGAATTCGCCTCAGAATTAATAACATTAACACCACGAGATCCAGTGAGAAACACTCCGATTTGGCGCAGGTTTCTGTTATAAACCATATCAGATCAAACAGAGCTGACGTGGAAACCAGGAGAAACACTTAGGCTTTCAGTCCACAAATCAGCCTATATATGATAATGTGTAAGAAATAGTCAAATGCTTACAAGTAGCCTACTACACATCTTTTCCCAGCACTTCAATAATATCATAAATAAATGTTTTATTTTTTTGAATTTTTTATGTGATTACCAACACATTTTTTGTTTATCCTTTAAAGATTGTCCTAAAATGAAAAAAGTACGATGATATTTTCATTAAATAGTTAAAAAGTTAAAAAGTCATTAAATCATGTTTAATTTGGACTTCTCTGTGCATGCTCTTTGAGGTGGTGACCATAGACCTCCATTATATGACTGATAGACAAGAACGGTTTGACCTAAAAATATCAAAATTGAAAATACTGTGGAAACAAAGACACCTACATCTTGGATGCCCTTGAGGTAAGATAAAACATATCAAAAATTAATTTCAAAGTGAACTATCCCTTTAAAGAGGAGTTCTTGTTCATTGTCTGACAACTTTTATCTTGGTGGAAAATGTTTATCTAGGATCCCTTAAATGTTTATGAGCAGTGTGAAGATATACACAGTGCGATATAGTCCTCGAACAGATCTTTATTGAGATCCCCTATAGAGTGGATAACAAACCTGTTTCTTTTCTCCATCCTTGTCATCGATGTAAGACAGAACAAAATCTATCCTCCGTACGCCATCTCTGAAGTACACCGAATCCTTACTCTGCTGCTGCTTATCCACCTGCACAAACACAACATCTCTTTTTACATTTATTTGAACAAAGTCAAGCTTTTCTACAAAGTACTGCAGCTTTATAAAATGTTCTATATCATCACAATAAAGGATGCATTGAAACAGCTTAAACATGAGTATTAAATGTGACAGAGACTACACTCTCAGAAAAAAGGTACAAAAGCTGTCACTGGGGCTGTACCTTTTCAAAAGGTAAACTTTTGTCCATTTCAGGTGCTAATGTGTGCATTTTAGGTGTTAATATGTACATTTCAGCTGCTAATAAGTACATTTTAGAGGTTAATATGTACATTTTAGGTGCCAATATCTGTAAATTTTAAGTGTTAATATATTTCAGGAGCTAATATGTCAATTTTAGGTCCTAATATGTCCATTTTCAGTGCTAATATGTACATTTCAGGAGCTAATATGTCCATTTTAGGTGCTAATATGTACATTTCAGGAGCTAATATGTCCATTTTCAGTGCTAATATGTACATTTCAGGAGCTAATGTGTCCATTTTAGGTGCTAATATGTACATTTCAGGAGCTAATATGTACATTTTAAGTGCTAATATGTACATTTCAGGAGCTAATGTGTCCATTTTAGGTGCTAATATGTACATTTCAGGAGCTAATATGTCCATTTTAAGTGCTAATATGTACATTTCAGGAGCTAATGTGTCCATTTTAGGTGCTAATATGTACATTTCAGGAGCTAATATGTCCATTTTAAGTGTTAGTATGTATATTTCAGGAGCTAATATGTCCATTTTAGGTGCTATTATCTCCATTTTAGGTGCTAATATGTCCATTTCAGGAGCTAATATGTCCATTTTAAGTGCTAATATGTAGATTTCAGGAGCTAATATGTCCATTTTCAGTGCTAATATGTACATTTCAGGAGCTAATATGTCCATTTTAGGTGCTAATATGTACATTTCAGGAGCTAATATGTCCATTTTAAGTGCTAATATGTACATTTCAGGAGCTAATATGTCCATTTTCAGTGCTAATATGTACATTTCAGGAGCTAATATGTCCATTTTAAGTGCTAATATGTACATTTCAGGAGCTAATGTGTCCATTTTAGGTGCTAATATGTACATTTCAGGAGCTAATATGTCCATTTTAAGTGCTAATATGTACATTTCAGGAGCTAATGTGTCCATTTTAAGTGCTAATATGTACATTTCAGGAGCTAATGTGTCCATTTTAGGTGCTAATATGTACATTTCAGGAGCTAATATGTACATTTTAAGTGCTAATATGTACATTTCAGGAGCTAATGTGTCCATTTTAGGTGCTAATATGTACATTTCAGGAGCTAATATGTCCATTTTAAGTGCTAATATGTACATTTCAGGAGCTAATGTGTCCATTTTAGGTGCTAATATGTACATTTCAGGAGCTAATATGTCCATTTTAAGTGCTAATATGTACATTTCAGAAGCTAATATGTCCATTTTAGGAGCTAATATGTCCATTTTAGGTGCTAATATGTACATTTCAGGAGCTAATATGTCCATTTTAAGTGCTAATATGTCCATTTTAAGTGCTAATATGTCCATTTTAGGTGCTAATATGTACATTTCAGGAGCTAATATGTCCATTTTAAGTGCTAATATGTACATTTCAGGAGCTAATATGTACATTTTAGGAGCTAATATGTCCATTTTAGGTGCTAATATGTACATTTCAGGAGCTAATATGTCCATTTTAAGTGCTAATATGTCCATTTTAAGTGCTAATATGTCCATTTTAGGTGCTAATATGTACATTTCAGGAGCTAATATGTACATTTTAGGTATTAATATGTCCATGTTAGGTGCTAATATGTACATTTTAGGTGCTAATAGATACATTTCAGGAGCTAATATGTCCATTTTAGGTGCTAATATGTACATTTTAGGTACTAATAGGCCTATGTACATTTTAGGTATTAATATGTCCATGTCAGGTGCTAATATGTACATTTCAGGAGCTAATATGTCCATTTTAGGTGCTAAAATGTACATTTTAGGTATTAATATGTCCATGTTAGGTGCTAATATGTACATTTCAGGAGCTAATATGTCCATTTTAGGTGCTAATATGTACATTTTAGGAGCTAATATGTACATTTTAGGTGCTAATATGTACATTTCAGGAGCTAATATGTCCATTTTAAGTGCTAATATGTCCATTTTAGGTGCTATTATCTCCATTTTAGGTGCTAATATGTCCATTTCAGGAGCTAATATGTCCATTTTAAGTGCTAATATGTAGATTTCAGGAGCGAATATGTCCATTTTAGGTGCTAATATGTACATTTTAGGTGCTAATATGTCCATTTTAGGTGCTAATATGTACATTTCAGGAGCTAATATGTCCATTTTAAGTGCTAATAAGTACATTTTAGGGGCTAATATGTCCATTTTAGTGCTAATATGTACATTTCAGGAGCTAATATGTCCATTTTAGGTGCTTATAGGTACATTTCAGGAGCTAATATGTCCATTTTAGGTGCTAATATGTACATTTTAGGTACTAATATCTGTACATTTTAGGTATTAATATGTCCATGTTAGGCGCTAATATGTACATTTTAGGTGCTAATAGATACATTTCAGGAGCTAATATGTCCATTTTAGGTGCTAATATGTACATTTTAGGTACTAATAGGCCTATGTACATTTTAGGTATTAATATGTCCATGTTAGGTGCTAATATGTACATTTCAGGAGCTAATATGTCCATTTTAGGTGCTAAAATGTACATTTTAGGTATTAATATGTCCATGTTAGGTGCTAATATGTACATTTCAGGAGCTAATATGTCCATTTTAGGTGCTAATATGTACATTTTAGGAGCTAATATGTCCATTTTAGGTGCTAATATGTACATTTCAGGAGCTAATATGTCCATTTTAAGTGCTAATATGTCCATTTTAAGTGATAATATGTCCATTTTAGGTGCTAATATGTACATTTCAGGAGCTAATATGTCCATTTTATGTGCTAATATGTACATTTCAGGAGCTAATATGTCCATTTTAGGTGCTAATATGTACATTTTAGGAGCTAATATGTCCATTTTAGGTGCTAATATGTACATTTCAGGAGCTAATATGTCCATTTTAAGTGCTAATATGTCCATTTTAAGTGCTAATATGTCCATTTTAGGTGCTAATATGTACATTTCAGGAGCTAATATGTCCATTTTAGGTGCTTATAGGTACATTTCAGGAGCTAATATGTCATTTTAGGTATTAATATGTCCATGTTAGGTGCTAAAATGTACCACTAAGGTTCCAATATGCAGCCTTTGGGTACTAAAGTGTACCTTTTGAAAAGGAACAGCCCCAGTGACAGCTTTTGTACCTTTTTTCTGAGAGTGTATAGCAAACTTCAAACCAATTAAAAAGTCTGCAGTTTAACTTCACACAAACCATGTCCTAGCCCCTGCTACTCACAGGCTACATGCGTGCTGTTAAAACCTGAACAAATACTTCAGCACAAGCTGCATGCTAAAGAAAAGCAAGACTTACAGTGCAGTCACATTTACCATTGTTCGACAAATTTTCTAAATCCAGTCATTTCAATAGGAATCCACACGATCTGACATTTCTTCATACCAATTTTACAACAGGTTTAAGTTGGTAACACGGACCAACCGAAAGCCATTTGTTTAGTTTTTTAAGTGACTTCCGTCTGCGCTGTGCTTCATACTGTCACGGGTGCGGGTTCAGGCAGAAGGAACGAACAGGCAGAGTCCAGAGAGCTCCAATACAAAAGGTTTTAATCATATTTCACAGGATACAGGCAGGCGGAACACCGAGTGACATTAACACAACGACCGACAATGAGGGGTAAAACAGAGGGAACTAAATACACAGAATAATCAAACATAATGGGGTGAGAACAGGTGAAACAGATGACGATGACGAGGAACAGGTGGCTGATGAGGGAGTGAACACGGGATAGGGTGACGAGAGGATCCTGGGAAGTGTAGTGCTGAAGACAAGACAGACTGGTGCAGACGGAGGACTGTGACAGTACTCCCCCCTCCCGGGAGGCGTGACCTCACGCCGCTGAGCAGAGGAAGGAGGGGGGACGAACTGGGGCCTGAGAGGGGCGTGGCCAGGGCGGAGCAGGCTGAGTGCGAGACCTGGGCGAAGCAGGCTGAGGGCGTGGCCAGGGCGGAGCAGGCTGAGGGCGTGGCCAGGGCGGAGCAGGCTGCACGGTCTCCGGCACAGGCTGGACGGTCTCTGACGCTGGCTGGACGGTCTCTGGGGCTGGGCTGGTCGGGCCCGGCGACGAAGAGAGCTCGGGCTCGGAGAGACTGGACGGAACCAGCAGTGCCGAGCATTCAGTCTCTGGAGGACTGGCCGGAACCAGCAGTGACGAGCATTCAGTCTCTAGAGGGCTGGACGGAACCAGCAGTGAAGAGCATACAGACGCTGGAGGACTGGACGGAACCAGCAGTGAAGAGCATACAGTCTCTAGAGGGCTGGACGGAACCAGCAGTGAAGAGCATTCAGTCTCTGGAGGGCTGGACGGAACCAGCAGTGAAGAGCATACAGACGCTGGAGGACTGGACGGAACCAGCAGTGAAGAGCATTCAGTCTCTGGAGGGCTGGACGGAACCGGCAGTGCAGAGCATTCAGTCTCTGGAGGGCTGGACGGAACCAGCAGTGAAGAGCATACAGACGCTGGAGGACTGGACGGAACCAGCAGTGAAGAGCATTCAGTCTCTGGAGGGCTGGACGGAACCAGCAGTGAAGAGCATACAGACGCTGGAGGACTGGACGGAACCAGCAGTGAAGAGCATTCAGTCTCTGGAGGGCTGGACGGAACCGGCAGTGCAGAGCATTCAGTCTCTGGAGGGCTGGACGGAACCAGCAGTGAAGAGCATACAGGCTCTGGAGGACTGAACGGCACCAGCAGTGAAGAGCATTCATTCTCTGGTGGGCTGGACGGAACCAGCAGTGAAGAGCATTCATTCTCTGGTGAGCTGGACGGAACCAG